AATTACGGTGATAATGATAGTGGTAATATCCACAGTAGCTAACTCGTATCTAACCTACAATTTCTCCATCAAAGAACTCGAAGTTTTGCCCACATCATTCCGTGTAGTCAGGGAAGGAATGAGGGACTGTTTGCCAGCGTCTCTGTTACTATGGACAAGGAAACCAAGGCTGCTGCTGGTTTTTTAAAGAGAGCTTTGTGGTGCGCCTGTGGGGACAGTGTCGCCAAAGATGAGCAGACTCCATGGGCCCCGGGTGGCCATATGGCTCTTAGGCCTGGGGTGTCGGAGCCCAGCTTGGCCCTGGGCCTTTTCTTGCCCCCGTGCAATGGACACGCTCAGTTCCTCCTGGCCAGGGCTCATGAGAATTAAATGAAATCTTAATGGGTGACATAAAAGCCCTCAAAACCCTGCAGGACAGTAGTGGGTTAGAGATTCTATTTTTTTTTTAAGTTTTTACCTTTTTAATTTATTAAATTATTTTACGTCCTTGCTGGTGTCTTGACACTATAGGATGTTCCCCTTCAGGGCAGTCCCTGTAGCTGCCACAAGAGCCCATGGGTCCTCTCCCTACAGCCCCCTTTTTTACCCCTCTCCCGCCGAAAACTCAACACCTGCGGTCAGTTTTCAAGGGCTCGTCTTAAAGTTTGTCTTTGTCGGACCCTCTGCTGGGTTTCTCTTTCTTCCGTATCAAGTGACACCATCCGGTGCTGATCCTCTCCTCTGGCTGACTTCACGTGTGTGCACCCCCCCAGCCCACCGCGTTGCTGCAGGTGGCATGATTTATCACTCTTGGTGGCTGAGTAGTAGTCCATTGTGTGTATACACCACATCTTCCCGGCTCACTCTTCTGTCCCTGGGCCCTTAGCTTGTTTCCACGGCTTGGCTACTGTCAACAGTGCTGCAGCGAACATAGGAGTCCATTAGTGGTTTTGTATTTGAGGGGTAGATACCTGGAAGTGGGATTGCTGGATCCATCTGTGGTTTCTTGAGGACCCTCCACACAGCTTCCCATCAGGCTGGACCAGGCTGCCTTCCCGCCGGCAGCGCCCAGGGCTCCTTTCTCCACACCCTCGCCAGCGCTCTGTGATTGTTGCTTCTTGCCTTTTGGACCTGGGCCGTTCTCCCTGGTGTGAGGTGGCATCGCATTGTGCCTTTGATTTGCTTTTCCTTGATAACGATGGTGAGCATTTGTTCATGTGCCCGATGACCACCTGTATGTCTTCTTTGGAAAAGCATCTTTTTAGATCCTCTGCCCATTTTTTGACTGGGTTCTTTGTTCTCTTTTTATTAAGTTGTATGAGTTCTTTGTAGATCTTGGCTATTAGCCTCTTGTGATATGTACGATGTGCAAATATTTTAGTTAGTAGAGTGTCTTTTTGTTTTACTGATAGTTTCTTTGATTGTGCAGAAGCTTTTTAGTTTGATGTAGTCCCAGTTGTTTATTTTTTATTTTATTTTCCTTGCTGTTCAGTCATGTTCCAGAAAGTCCCCGAAGCTGGTGTTGTAGAATGTTTTACCTGTATTTTCTTCATGTTTTTAATGGATTCTTGTCATATATTCAAGTCATTAATCCATTGAAGTTCATTTTTATGAATGAGAGTGGTCTAGTTTCATCTTTTTCATATAACTATCCAGTTTCCCCAACACCATTTGTCGAAGAGACTCCTTTCTCCATTGTATACTCTTGGTTCCTTTGTTGTAGATTAACTGTCCGTATAGATGTGGGTTTATTTCTGGGCTATCAGTTTTAACATTGGACTGTGTATCTGTTTCCCCCCCATACCATATGTTTGGATTACTATAGCTTTGTACGATAGTTTTAAGTCTGGAAATGTGGTACCTCCCTCCGCCTTCTTTTCCGACAAAATTGCTTTGGCTATTCAGGGTCTTTGTTGGTTCCACATAAATTTCAATAGTGTTTGCTTTATTTCTTTGAAGAAGTTCACTGGAATTGTGTTAGGAGTTGCACTGAATCTGTAAATTGCATTGGGTAAGATGGACATTTTGGCTATATTAATCCTTCCAATCCAGGAGCATGAAATAGCTTTCCATTTCCTGTGTCTTCTATTTCTTTTAGTAATGACTTATAGTTTTCATTGAATGGGCCTTCCTTTGTTAAGTCTATTTCTAGGTATTTAATACTTTTTGGTGCTAATGTAAATGGAATTTTTTCTTGAGTTCTTCTTTTTCTGGTTCATTATTTGCATATAGGAATGCCACAGACTTTTGTATATTGACTTGGTAGCTAGCCACCCTACAATATCGATTTATTGTTTCTAATAGTTTTTTTTGGGAGATTCTCTAGAGCTTTTTATATATGTAAAATTATGTCCCCTGCAAAAAGTTTTACTTCTTTTTTCCCAACTTGTATTCCTTTGCTATCTTTCTCTTGCCTAATTGCTGTAGGTAGAACTTCCAGTACGATGTTGAATAGCAGTGGTGAGAGTGGACATCCTAGTTGTGTACATGATCTTAGAAGGAAAAGCTTTCAGTTTCTCACCATTGAGTATGTTAGCTGTGGCCCTTCTATCCCTATTAAGAAGAAGGCAGTTCTGAAACATGTTGTATGTGGATGGCCCTTGAGGACATGATGCTCAGTGAGAAAGCCTGTCACTAAAGGGCAGACCCTGTCTGACTTCATGCATGAGGTCCCTGGAGGAGTCACATCCAGAGAGGCACAAAGTAGGACGGTGGCGCCAGGGTCTGGGGGAGGGGAATGGAGAGTTAGTGTTTAATGGGGACAGACTTTCAGTTTGGAGAGATAAGTTCTGAGATGGGTGGTGGTGATGGCTGCACAACAGTGTATGTGTCCTTAAGGCCTCTTAAAAATGGTTAATACAGTGAATTTTTTTTTAAATATTTACTTATGCATACAAGAACTGGGGTACAGGCCAGAGATGGGGGTGGGGGGGTGAGAGGGTTCACCAGAGACAGAGCGGGGAGCAGAACAGGCAGACTGACTGAAATACACTGCTGAGGGGAGCAGCGGGCGAGCCAGGAGATCTGCTGCGCCATGTGACTTGTTCCTGGCCGGCCAGGGATCGAACTCGTGCTGCAGAGACTGCGGATTGCTTCATAGTGTGGTGCTTAACCCTTTGTGCCACCAGGCCCCAATATGATGAATTTTATACTAATGTATTTTTTTTAAGATTTATTTATTTATGCATATGATGGAGCAAGGGGTTAAGACTCAACGTATACTAATGTATTTTGCTACTTAAAATAAACCTGTTCTTTAGTCATCCTGATCACAATCAATAACCACAGGGTGAAGTTGCTACCATGTTGGATAGCTCAGGCTGAGAACATTCCTGTCTTTGCAGAAAGACAGTGCCATTCAGAGGTTAATGCAACCTCAGCAGTCACTTCTGTCCCCTGGCTCCCACGGGTGCTAGGAACATTCGCTGCAACAAAGAGCCTGAGGATTTGAAGTGAAAACACCCTCCGGGTTCTAAACTATTTTTCAAGCCATGCAGGGAGTGAGTGGAGAGAGAACCCTGGAGACAGGCTATGCTGTAGCCAAGGCCTCTGCAGCCCCAGGGAGACCAACTGTTCAGGGCCAGGTTTGCCAACAGCTTGGAAAGGAGGGCTGGCGATCCAGGCACAGGCCAGATGCCTAGGGATCAGCATCCCGGGTGAATGGAAGCCACGAGGAGGGTGAGACACAGAGGGGCTGCGGTTAGGCTGCGGGAACAGGCCAGGGCAGAGTCCAGCACTTCTAGTGACCGAGTTCAGGTGCACTGACTGGGAACCCTCACCAGCCTCAGCCTCTGCCCCCACTGCAGCGCCTTCTCCTTCCTCCCTGCTCGTCACTGCCTTCGCTGCTGTAGAATTTGTTGCTTGGTGCGTGGTCCTGGTTGCATATGCAGTCACACATTTATGTGTTTGGGTAACCATTCCGCCTCCTCCGGGGTGTGTGGCCCTGCGGCGGCTGTGATGCCCAGATCAGGGCCAGCAAATGTCTGTTGAAATAATAAATGGCCGTTGGGGAAGGTGCTTGACCTCCCTGTGCTTTGCTTTCCTCGTTTGAAAAGCAGAGATAATAGGTTGTTTATTCCAGCGGCTGCACCCTGAGCCAATGGTGACATTTTCAGAAAGCTTGTGAAACGCTTGTGAAATAAGCTGTTATTAATATCTAAGTGATATAACCTCACCGTTAATTATGTTTGCATTGTTAATTAACCCTTAAAACTCACCACTTCCTAATGATCTCACCATGTTTTCCTAGAAGGTTACTTTCAGGATGAGTTGCTGCTGTCGCGCTTGTGGTGGACATGCCGTTCTGTGCGTCCCTGCCCGCCCTGGGCATCCCTTGCTGCTGGTTTCATGCGCCCCTGCCCGCTCCTTTTGTCCCTGCCTGCTCCGTGCTTGGTAGCTTTTTGTTGGCAGCTTGAAAGGGCCCACGATGGAGCGTTCACACCATGGGAACTGCCAAATGGTATAAGTCAGAACTTCTCTGTGCTCCTTGAAGCAGTTGTTAAACAATTATGAGCCTGGTTGTTAAACATTTATGAGCACACGGCCAGTTGTGAGGCTGAAATGAATTAATAGTTGTGTCTGGCAAGTGCCATCGAAGTGGGTCGTCACTACGGCAGTTGTCCCTTATCTGAGACTTTCTGTGCCTGTCACTTGAGGTGATCGTGGTCTGAAAATACTGAGAACAGTAAGATATTTTGAGAGAGAGAGAGAGAGAGAGAGAGAGAGAGAGAGGACACTAACATAACTTTTATTATAGTTTATCATTTTAATTGTTCTGTTATTACCATTCATCTGACTCTTCTAGTTTACATATGCCGCATATGAGGTGCCTAGCTCTATAGCACGTCTATGAAGAAACAGTGACAGGGCTTCCCACTACCTGGACTTCCAGGTATCCCTGGGGGTCTTGGGACGTGTTCCCATGGGGAGAGGGCTGCCAAGTGTTGCTTGCTGCTCTGGGGAGCCCAGAGTTGCACGCACAGGGGCCTGGCAGAGCTAACACAGCTGCCTCTCTTCCACAGTGTGCCCGACCATCTGCAAGTCTCAGGGCTGCACGGCCGAGGGGCTCTGCTGTCACAGCGAGTGCCTGGGCAACTGCTCCGAGCCCGACGACCCCACCAAGTGCGTGGCCTGCCGCAACTTCTACCTGGACGGCAGGTGCGTGGAGACCTGCCCGCCTCCCTACTACCACTTCCAGGACTGGCGCTGCGTGAACTTCAGCTTCTGCCAGGACCTGCACAACAAGTGCAAGAACTCACGGCGGCCGGGCTGCCACCAGTATGTGGTGCATGACAACAAGTGCGTCCCCGAGTGTCCCTCCGGATACACCATGAATTCCAGCAAGTGAGTCCTGGGGAAGCCCGGGTGGTCGGGGGGTCATGGGGATGGTGATAGGCTGCCTGTGAAAAGCCAGGGTTCATGGCAGGAATGAGGGAACTGCTGCTGCTTAGCAAGTGTGGGGGTCTCTGATACCCCTATTTTGCTCTGGTTCCTGTTTGGTCCTGGCCTTTGTTTTTTTTTTTTTTTTAAGATTTATTTATTTATGCATACAAAAACTGGGGTACAGGCCAGAGGTGTGGGGGGTGAGAGGATTCACCAGAGACAGAATGGGGAGCAGAACAGACCAATCTACTGAAATACACTTCTGAGGGGAGCAGTGGGGAGACAAGAGAGGTCTGCTGCGCCATGTGGGTAGCTCCCTGGCCGGCCGGGGATAGAACTCTTGCCACAGAGGCTGTGGATAGCTTCACAGTGCTGTGCTTAACCCCTTGTGCCCACCAGGGAGGCCCTGGTCCTGGCCTTTGAAACGGGAGTCAGAATTTTTCTGTAAAGTGCCAGAAAGTGAGTATTTGGGGTACCTTGCACAGCATTTCCAGGGTTCAGTGCACTTCACTTGGGGGACAGGAGGCACAGGGGAGAGGCCTGGCTTCTTGTGGGGTCTCCGCGTGGGCCCGCTGTGCCGGCTGACACGGCTGCCGGCTGGCGGGGGCCAGAGCCCAGGAGGCGTCTCACATTCTCTCATCTGGAGCCAAAGCGGGCACTGGCATCAACCCAGGTCCAAGAAGGAAGAGGCTCAATTCTAGATGGTTCTCAGGGCCATGCTGTGCTTTGAAGGACCGTGCCGTCAAACCACTTCCTACTGCTTGGGTGAGAAACGGCAGGGTTTGCCTCCCTGGTGGTGAGTCAGGTTTCTTAGGCTCTCGCAGACTATGCTCGTATTTTCAGCTGCCCAGAAAAAGCTATTTCGGGGTCTCAGGGCCGTCACCAAGCTTAAAGAAATCTGTTTCCTGGTTTTTGTGTGGAGGGCTTGGAAAAAAACACAATAAAACAACACCAAAACAAACCAGAAACAGACGCACGTTGAGAGGCCTTGAGCTGACCTGCTTACGTAAAAATCTTCCTCTCCAGACTTGAGAATCAGCCAAGAGAGCGTGTTCTGGTGGGAAATTTTATGTCCCTGGCTGGGGAGGGTGGGAAGGAAACCAGTCTTGTGAGTCGCTCTCCTAGTGTTTGTGAAACCTGCAAGTACACTATGTTTTGTTACTCGATTTGATAAAACCTATCGAGTGACTTTGTGGACCAAAAATAGGCCTTTTAAAAGCACCTTTGCATGCCACACAGAGCTATTTCCCCCCCCCCCCCTTTTTGGAGGGAAGGCAGTTGATCAGTGAGCTTGGGAAAACTGACGTATTCCCGTTTGATTCATTTTCTTAAAAATGTTTGAAATAAAGCGTGGATAGCAACGTTTTCCGGTGGGATGTTTGTCTAAAAGATACTGGCTTTAAATTAAAGGTATTTTTCCCTCATTATAACTAAGCCCCGAGAAGTAGAGCGACCTCCTTAATGTTCCTGTGGGTGGTGCGGTGGCCCCTCGAATCGGAACGCCAGGACATCGCCAGCCTGCTCCGGGGCTGCCGGGGTCTTCGCGGCTCGCTGCAGGCCGTCTTCACGGTGTTTTACTTTGTAGGGTGGACATTTTTTTATTTTACCAAGAAAAAGATTTTCCTTCTGAAGCTTTTGTTTTAGGAAAGACTTTAGTGCTGTTTCATTTTCTAATGCGGTTTGATATCAGCTGGGGCCAAATATGTTTTCTTCCATTCTTGCGGCTTATCTGGGCAGGAGTTGGGTTTTTCGAGGCCGGAAGCCTACGTGCGCTCGTCCCCGGCTTCGCCATCTGTAGTCACGCCACGGGCTCTGGGAAGGGGGAGGGGGCGACAGGGTGCTCTTTCTAGAGATGAGGGGGCTAGCTATTGGGGTGAAGGTTAAGCCTGTGATGGGGACAGGGCTCCCTTGGGGAGAGGGAGAGGACCCCAAATCTAGGAGGTTCCCTTCACCCTTCTTGCCCTCTCGTGCTTGTTGCTGCGGTCTCAGCTCCGTCCGCCCCCCACCCCTGTCTGCCAGCATCACTCATCAGCTCTAGTGTCTCCCTGCTCACCCCGCTGCCCCCACAGCTACCCTAACTAAGGGGAGCTTTGGCAATCGGATGCCACGTCCCTGTGTAAACCCCGCCCCGGTAGCCCTCCCCCCGCCCCACCCCACCCCACCAAGACATGGACACGAAATCTAAACGCCTCCCCTGCAGACTCTAAGTTTTCATTTTATTCCTGCTCTCGCCACCCTCCATGCTCGTCGGGGTGGTCACGCCAGTGTCTTCTTCAGCCTGCTCAGTCCACTCCTTGCTCTGCACCCGCTGCCCCTCCTGCCGGGTCACTCTGCCCCCTGGTTTCTGCACGGCTGGCTTCCTCTGATCATTCAGGCCACAGCTTAGAAGTCATCCTCCCCGAGACTCCCTGCCCGCCCGAGCTGGCTATCTCCTGGCCCTGGGCACACTGCTCAGTTTTAACTCTTTCCCCGGCATTTACCCCGAGCTGACTTTTAATTGTGAATGTTTCCATTCTCCCCGCCTAGACTGCTCACCCCGTGCCAGTGTCCGTCAGCTCTGCCGGAGCTGACAGACCACCCCGCTCTGTGGCTTAAGCGGAACCCACTGGTGATCTCTGACGATTTCGTGGGCTGAGCGTGGGTCTGTCTGGCCTGGGCTGGGTCAGATGTGGTGGCATGGTGGGGGGTAGCCCCTGAGATGTGAGCCGGGCTTGGGATGGGTCTCTGTGGGGAGGGCATGCCCGGGAGTGCCTGTCTGCTAATGCCACGCTGCCCCCGGCACTTCCTCTGCAAGCCCAGGCCCAGTGAGTGAGCGCCCGTGCCTCTCGCCGGGAAGGCTGGAGAGAACTCGGGACACGCTGCTCTCCCACAGCGCAGATGAAGTGGGTTGCTGCGTCCACGCATGTGAGCCTGTGGCTTCAAGCAGGCGTTGGCAAAGAGCCAGATAGTAAATATTTTCGACTCTGAGGACCATATGGTCTGGGTCGCAGCTGCTCAACTCTGCCCTCAGAGCCGAGAGCCGCTGGGCGTGCTCGGCCCAGCCGTTGCCTTCACGGGCCAGGTGGTGGCTGGGCTCGGCCGTGGGCCATCACTGCTGGCCTCCACCTTGGAATGTCACCTGTCACACAGTAAGTGCGCAGTGACTGTTTGGATAAACGACAAAGAACCCAAACATTTGGTCATTTTCTGTTTACACCGCAGCCGCTCTGGCTCCTCTGAGCGCGCTGCAGTCAGCATCGCGCTAAACACCGCGCGTCAGTGCCTCGAGGTCCCCAAGGTAAAGTCTCATCGCCCACCAGACTGCTCTCCCCTCAGGTGCCAGCCACGTCTGGGGTACCCCAGGGCCACCTGCTCTTGTGATCATCTGGCTGTACATTGGGGGCTTCACACAAATCCGTTGGGTGTAACGATTTGCTACAACTTGGGGACCCAAATTGTCCCCAAGCCTGTTGATGGTGGCACCCCCCTCTTAGGACTACCTGCGGTGCTCACCTGGGCACACATCTGGGCCTCCCAGATGCTTCCCCCCGGGACCAGTGCTGTGGCTGGACCGGCTTTCGTGGTTCTTAGAATTGCAGGATGCGCTTTGGCAAGAAAGCACCAGGCACCTGGGTTTCTCCTCAGAGTGCTCAGCACACCTGTGGACCACCTGGAGGCCACACGGTGAGGTGTGGGGAGAGAGAGAGAGAGAGGGAGAGAGGGAAGGAGAGAGGGATGGACAGGCCTAGGGCTCTGCCTTCTTAATGTATTTATTAGGGTCCAGTAAGTGGGGCGACTGGGGTTTCATGAAATCAGTCTTCACTGGCTCATTTAAAGCACAAGAGTGGAGCTTGGGGTGTGGGACAGGAGAAGAGGGTTTTCAAAGCTTTCTCAAAGAGTGAACTTCATGGCGGGGGTGCCGACATCTTCACCCAGTTGTTTCACTCCTGCTGTGCCTCATGGCTGGAGACTCGGCCGTCAGGATGGGCGAATTTCCAGATGGCACCTCTGCGTGGGAGCACAGCATGGGGCCTGTGCTCTGCGTGTCTTCACAGCTACAGCTTGGAGCCTTGGCCAGACTCGCTGTGCATCTGTGGAAGAAGAGGCCCCCCCTTAGCATGTCGGTATATTCGCCAGTCAGGAAACCTCACTGGTTGGCGATCAGAGTTTTTATTGGGGTTTTGTTAAATGGGGGTTGAGCCCTTGGGCTCCAACCTCCAGCCCCTTCCCTTTCCTGGGGGTCACTCCCTTGCCCAGTATATTCCTGCTGACCACCACCCACCTGGACACTGTGCAGGGACCTCACAGTCACCGCATCAGCATAACATGGGCACTCCAACAGCCAGGAAAAGCCAAGGGTCTTGAAGCCCAGGGCCCGATAGAGATCAGATGGCGTCTGTATCACACGTGACCACCGTGAAGGTCGTTCTGAAGAACAGGCTGTTCAGGACCGCAGGAGTGGCAGTCCAACGACAGTACTTCTAATAAAAAGGGATCGTCATGACAACGACCAACAATTTCTGTCTTCTGTGTGTCGGGTGCTTTATGTGGTAGATGCCATTTAGTTCTTATTACAGCCTGTTGGGAATAGTACTGTTATTATCTCCATTTCATAAAGGAGGAAACTGAGCCTGTGCGATGGGAATGTTGGGATTTCATGCCATGGAACCCAACCTCGAACTGACTTAGGCAAGGTTAATGTTTGTTGGTGTCTGTCTTGCAAAAGTTTAGGAATGGCTTCAGGCACAGCTGCATCCAGGTGCTCAAGTTCATCATCAGCTTCTTTCCACCTTGACTTTCCATCCCCTACGTTGGTTTTGTTCTCAGACAGCCTCTTCTCCATTCTTTGCCCCATACTAGCTATGTAGTAATGAGCTCTTAGCTACCCCAGAAGGAAAATAATTTCTCCTTCCAGGAAGTTCTAGCAAAACACCAACTGGACTGACTTGGGTGTGTGCCCATCTCTGAAACCCCAGGAGGATGGAAGGTGGCACCCAGCCTGACCAGATCCTGTGTCCTGCTGGACCTAGGAGGACTGTGTCGGCCAAGAACTGACCTCAGAGATCCTGGGTGGAGGAGGACTTATTTTCAGAGGCCTCCTGGAGGTTGTAAATTGAAGACATCAGTGCATAGGCAGGCAGGGCCAGGGCTGCCCCAGTCACTCAGTACCAAGTGTGAGGTCCTATTATACGTGACCCCACCAGACCCCACACAGCACGCCAAGTGTCCAGTCTCCATGGAGTAGCAGCTTGATTCCTGCCACCTGCGAGTTCTCCACTTTGGCATAATGGCAAATTGAGTCCCCTGCCAGGCCCATCAGCTCAGCTACTTCCCGTCTCCATGGCATTTCGGGGTAATGAGGCCTCTGACTTGGGGTGATGCTGTGGCCCCACCACCCCAAAGTAGCAGCGTATGTTTGTTACTGAGCACAGTGACTCTCACTTGGGACAGTTCCCCCCAGGAGATGCCACTGGGAGATATTTTTGGGCATCTTGCTTGGGGGTGGTGCTCCTGGTATTGAGTGGATGGGTCCCAAGGGTGCTTTTGGATGCCCTCTTGGGATCGCCCCCTCAGTGGAGAGTTCGCTGGCCACAGTGAAGCACCACATCTTCAGGTGCCCGTTGGTGTCCTCCCATGTGGGGTCCTGACCCTCTTTCTCTGCCCTTCCCTCAGCCTGATGTGCACCCCATGCCTGGGCCCCTGCCCCAAAGTCTGCCACATCCTGGAGGGTGAGAAGACCATCGACTCGGTGACCTCTGCCCAGGAGCTGCGTGGCTGCACTGTCATCAACGGGAGCCTCATCATCAATATCCGGGGGGGCAGTGAGTACTGGGGCACTGCTGACTCTCCTTCCCTGCCAGTGCAGAGGCAAACAGCCCGGATGCCACCCACACCCTGAGGTGGTCTCCCCAGCCAGTAAAGTTCCTCAAAGAGTTTGCTGCCAAACCTGCAAGTCACAGCTCAGTTCTGACCCTGACCCCCTTAGATTCTGATTTTCCAGAGTTGGGGTATTCTAGGAGTGGGGGGTATCATGATTTGCATTTCAGTGAGCAGGCCACATGCCCTACTGCAGGTCTGAGTTTCCAGAAATACTGTCTCAGGCAAACAGGCATCCCTTTGTGTATGTATTTAGCAAATTTTATCAAATACTCACAAGGAACAAGGCAGGCCCCTGAGGGATGGGCCTTACAAGTAAGCAAGCCGGGTGCAAAGTGAACCCCACGCTGTGAAGGAGGACAGCAGAGTGACAGGCCGAGTGGATGTGGGTGACCCGTCTTTCCAGAGGGCCACATAATAAATACCCATAGCTCTGCAGGCCACACAGTCTCTGCATGACTGCTCAGCTCTGCTGTGGTGGATTAAAGCAGCCGTGATCATATGTGAACAACTGGTAGTGGCCCTTTACCAATAAAACTTTATTTAAAAGCAGGTTGGATTTTATTTAAAAGCAGCCTGGTGTCTGCCCCCTCCAAAATAGAGAATAAACAGAGTTGCTATTTTAGAAATTTCTGGTATAAAGAGGGATACTTACAGTTCTCAGTGGAGCAAACCAAGCAGATTTATGGGAGAACAATGTTTTGGGCAGAGGAAGCAGTTGGTGCCCAGGTCCTCAGGCTCAGCATACGCCTGTCCTGTGCAAGGGGCACCTGGGGAGGGGCCAGTGGTCTCTGGTCAAGAGGCCAAGGGATGACGGAAGATGCAGACATTTCTGTAGACTCATTAGCTATCCTCGTCCCCTTAGACAACCTGGCGGCTGAGCTGGAGGCCAACCTTGGCCTCATTGAAGAAATTTCAGGGTATCTAAAAATCCGCCGGTCCTACGCCCTGGTGTCGCTTTCCTTCTTCCGGAAGTTACGCCTGATTCGAGGAGAGACCTTGGAGATCGGGTAGGTGGGCCCTATTCTGTGTCTGCGGTGGGAGTGTTCCCCAGGAGGTGCGAGAATTAGAAAATCGTAGGATTTTTTTGCCACGATGTGCAAACAGCCTGAGAAATACGGTACAAGTCATGAGTGTAATTTTAGGTGTTCCAGTTGCCACATTTTTAAAATTTTAAAAGAAATAAGTAAGATAGAACATTAATATTGCATCCAGCTTACCCCTTTGTATCTAAAATGTCAGCGCAACATGGAGTTGCCTGAGAAAATGATAAAAAAGGTATTTTACTTTTTTTTTTTTTTTTTTGCACACACAGTTCCAAATTTGTTTTTCACTTGGAGCACAGTTCAGAATGGCTGCATGTCAGGTGCCTGTAGCCAGAAAGGGCAGTGGTTGTGACCTGGACAGCACAGGTCTCGATGCCCCCCTCCTGTCACCGTATGCTGGTGGCCCACGAGTAGTTCTAAGGCCCAGGCCTGGACCAGCTGCTGTGACACCTGCAGTGGCTCCTCGCTGCTTCCTCAGGGAGGTCCGTGCTCTTGGTCTTGTTCTAAAGGGTTTGGCCCCTTGCAGTTCCCCAATGTCCCCTCCTGTTGACCCAGCCCGCTCTGGGAACCCCAGATCTCAATCTATCAGTCTTCCCTTCCTGCCCACAGTAGTGAGTGTAGCCCCTCCCTGGCATGAAGAGTTCCTCACCTCCCTCATCTCTCCTACCTCCTCACTCAGCACACACTGAGCACGTGCCAAGCAGGCAGCGAGGCCGGGGTTGGTGTTGAACCAGGTCGGCTCTAACTCTGGCACTCGGCATGGAGACCACAGACCACTGAATGACCAGGAGTGTGTGTGTCTCCCTAGGAACTACTCTTTCTATGCTCTGGACAACCAGAATCTAAGGCAGCTGTGGGACTGGAGCAAGCACAACCTCACTATCACTCAGGGGAAACTCTTCTTCCACTATAATCCCAAGCTCTGCTTGTCGGAAATACATAAGATGGAAAAAATTTCGGGAACCAAGGGGCGCCAGGAGAGGAACGACATCGCCCTGAAGACCAACGGGGACCAGGCATCCTGTAAGTGGCGACGCACGCTTCTCCCGGTCGTGGACCTGCCCTTTCGCTCCACACTGGCCCCCAGGGCACGCCATGTCCCCTGGCCCCTGGCGAGCTGAAGCAACTGTGTGTTCATGGGCTTTCTGGAGCACGCGGGACAGTGTGGTACTTGCTCTTTGTGCTGCTCGCCAGATACAGCGCCTGGTGCTGGAAGGTGCCACACGAGCGTTGAATGAATGAGTGAGTAGGTGAGTGACTGAGTGAATGATTGAGCGTGTGAGTGAGTGTGTGTGGATGAGTGTGTAAGTGAGTGTGAGTGTGAGTGGATGAGTGAGTGAATGTGAGTGAGTGTGTGAGTGTGAAAGTGAGTGAGTGAGTGGATGAGTGAGTGTGAGTGAGAGTGAATGGATGAGTGTGTGAGTGAGTGCGTGAGTGGCTTTGGCTTGAATGTTGTGCAAGTCCCGTGATGGCTTCAACCGGAGTCTGTCCTCCGACCGCATGCCCCAGACAGGTTTTTTCTAGAAGGAATGTCTGAGCATCGAGCCGCCATCTGCCCTTCTGGGGAGCTGGTTCCTGCTCCAGAATGCGTCCAAGCTGTGGGATTTCAGGGAGGGGCTGGGGAACCTGGGCGAGCTGAGGGAAGGGCTTACGTTCCGGGAAGAGGGACTTGCTCTTTCTCTTCTCAGTCTCTCCACGGGAGCTGCGTGCTCGAAACCCTCCAGGCTGGGCCGTTTGCTTGGAGCTCTGTTTTCTGACAGTCCAGGCTTGCAACTCCATAGGCGAGGCCGAGTGTTGTTCTTGAGAATCCCTGTTCCCAGAAACCACTGGCCAATTGTCCTTCTCACCTTGATGCCGACTGGTGTTACTCGGTCAGCCAGCCACGTGACCGTTCTGCGGGGGGTGGGGTGGGGTGGGGGGGGTGGGCAGGGCTGCTGACTGGCTCCTGCCTCGGGCACCCCACCCGCTCCCAGGAGGAGAGGCTGTCACGGGAGATTGGCATCTCCTGTCCAGGCCGCTGATGAAAGCCTGGGTCGCCTGCTTTGGGCCAAAACAAATGAATAATGATATATTTTTAACCTTTTCTAGGTGAAAATGAGTTACTGAAATTTTCTTACATCCGGACGTCTTTCGACAAGATCTTGCTGAAGTGGGAGCCATACTGGCCCCCTGACTTTCGAGACCTCCTGGGGTTCATGCTCTTCTATAAAGAGGCGTAAGTGGAAAAGCAGGGAGGGAAGGGGCCCCGAGCTCTGTGCTGCTTGTGGGTGTGCCGAGGCCCCCTCCAGGGCGCTGTCCCCCCTCCTAGTGGGATAAATGCCACAGGTTACATTTTACAGCCTCACCAGCTGATGGGGCAGGAAGTTCCAGGATTTGTCGAGAGTCAGAAATAGAAGCAGACGGGTTTCTTTGGGAGCATCAGGCCCATTTCCTATAGAATATTCCAGGCCGCCTCCTCCCTGCACGTCTCACCACACATCCTCAACCAGCTGTCCCTCAGTCTACTCGGGTTTTTTTAATATATTTTTTGGATCTACCTTATATTTTTGCAATGTTTGCAAAGTTTCGACAGAACACACATGACATCGAATTGACCATTTTCACTACTTCCCCGTGCACAGTTCAGTGGCCTTATGCTACTGCCTGCCTCCAGCATTTTTCGTCATCTCCAAGTGAAACTTTGTCCCTAGGAAACAACACCCAGCTTGGAGTGTATCTCTGTGCCGAAGGCGGTGCTGGTAACACTGCTAATAACAGGATTTGTGATGTGTCAGACTGTGCCCCGAGTTGCCACATGCTCTCATGTGACCTAATCTGTACCCCATGAGGTGTGGTTAGTGCCATCACCACCGGGGTTATTAAGATCGGGGAACTGGGGTGTCGGGAAGGGGTCCCTGTTCTTGGGCTGTTCCCTGTCATTTCTCCTTGTTGGTGAGAAGCTCCCGCGGGGAACTGCCCCCGGAGGCAGGTGTGCGTCCTCATGGGAGAGCCGGGAAATGCTCACCTTCTCCCCTTCCGTCTCGAAAGCCCCTACCAGAATGTGACGGAGTTCGACGGGCAGGACGCCTGCGGCTCCAACAGCTGGACGGTGGTGGACATCGACCCGCCTCTGAGGTCCAATGACCCCAAGTCGCAGAACCAGCCTGGGTGGCTGATGCGGGGCCTCAAGCCCTGGACTCAGTACGCCATCTTCGTCAAGACCTTGGTCACCTTTTCTGACGAACGCCGAACATACGGTGCCAAGAGCGACATCATCTATGTGCAGACAGAAGCCACCAGTAAGTCTTCCTGTCAGTGTGAACTTTTGCACCAGTGGGGCGGTCTTGGACGGCCGACATGGTGAGGGCGCTCGGCATGCTCTCTCTGGTCTTGGCTTCTGAGAGCCGGGCCCAGGGTCATCTCTTCAGAAGATGCGGCTTTAACACAAGAGGGAACGTGTTTCTTCCCATGATGGAAAATTTTTAGCTACAGCAATTATTAGCATCTTGCCATTTTTGTTTCATCTCTGTGCTCCTCCCGCCTCCCTACTTTTGGGGGTGCTGAAGTAGTTCATAACAGTTTGGTCATATACTTTTTATAAAGCCTGAGTCCTGAAGCAGCACCCCCCAACCCCCACCCCAGCCGGGTGCATTGCCAGCGTCTGGAGACATTTTTGATTGTCGTGACGGGGAAGTGGAGCTACTGGCATGCAGTAGGGGGGACAGGGATGTCACCTCACACCCTCCAGGGCACAGACAGCAGCCCCATGACAGAGACTGCCCGGCCCCAGACGTCCCCGGGGTTGAGGACTGAGGGCTCAGCCCCGGCCCTGGCTTTGCCCTCTCATGTAGGATGTGCCAACAGTCCAGCAGACTTGGAGTTTCTGGAAACCTCTAGCTTCAGGCCTTTGCACACATTATGTCCCGTGTCTTGAAGCCCCCCTGTTCCCACTCCACCTCCCACAACTCCCTCAGCCACCTCCGTCCTTAAGGGGAAGGCCTGAGCTCAAAGGCAGCGTGTTGCCGGGAATGTTCCATGAGCTGCCACTGTGTGGAGGGTGGGCTGGCATTCAGCTGCCAGAGCTGCCCTGTGCGGGCCCAGCTTGAGGTGGAGGGCCAGGGGACACGTAAGTCTGTTTCTTCCCGCCTTCCCTCCGCCCCTTCCGTCTTTCCAGTGCCCAGAACAGAGAACTCATGGCGCGCGCTGGAGCTCAGTTACCGTCTGTGTATAGACGGGTGAATGGGTGGCCGTGCCACCTGCAGAATGTGGTCTCGTGCCTGTGCCCTCATGGCTGAGCGGTCTCCTGTCTCCTGGGTTTCCAACATCAGGCGGCCCGCAGCAGACACGCTGTGGCTTCTTCACCCCGCATGTGCCCTCCCGCCCACCCAGCGCTGTGCCCCTCCTCACGGCGGGCCTGTTCCTTTCTCCTTTGCAGACCCTTCCGTGCCGTTGGACCCCATCTCTGTCTCCAATTCCTCATCCCAGATCATTCTGAAGTGGAAGCCTCCCTCTGACCCCAACGGCAACATCACGCACTACCTGGTGTTCTGGGAGAGGCAGGCAGAGGACAGCGAGCTGTTCGAGCTGGACTACTGCCTCAAAGGTGGGTGGGATGGGCATGAGCGCCGGTGGGTGCAGGTGAGTGCAGTGGGCGTAGGTGGGCACAAGTGGGTGTGCAGGTGGGAAGTCCCAGGCTTTGCACAGGTGTACCCCGCACTCCCCGTTAACCATGACACAAGTCCATACTCTGATGACTGGCGTCGAGACCTGTTCCTCTCATGTCTTGGCGCGTTTCCCTCTGGGATTTCCCTGCCTCTCCCTCCCCTCCCTTCTTTGTCCCAGTCGCCCCCTTCCCCACTCGTGGGGACTCGCCGTGTAACCCACTGGAGACGTCTGTGCTGGTGTGGGAACGGTGGCCCCATGTACCAAGAGGTTATTGACAAAGTCAGGGAAGCATCCAGGCTCTAAATTTAGACCCTTTCGCTGTGAGGCTGGGAGACGCCAGGAGCGACCATCCACTCCTTCCTGCGCGTCCTCTGGGACTGTGCGCCCGCCGTGCTTCTCTCAGCCTTGGATCTTACTTGCTTGCCAGGCTTCCATCCCCTGGCAGGAATATGGAAAACTATTTGAAGCCTCAAACTAGTTTGTATAAATCACTTTAAGATTATTTTAAAATTGGGTCTTAAAAATTCCATCAAACCGGAGAAACAGAAGTCATTTCTGCTGTTTTGGTTTGTCATTGGACATGCTTTTCTTTAGCTTTCTGCAGCTCGCCATGTGCTCAGAGCCTCGCGGGGAGTGGCTGCCGGGGGGCGGAGGCGGGAGCCTGGCTGTCTCAGCTGCACCCCAGCCGCTGTAAGGCTTCGGACAAGTCGCCGAGCTCCGCGCTGTTTGCCTCCTTTTTGGGAGAAGGGGCGGGAGGCCAGAGGACCCAGGAGCTGTCCAAGCTCTAAGATCATCGCTATATGTGTCCCTGTGACCTCATTCTCCGCCCGGCCGAGGGCTGCAAACGTGATTTATCTACTCAGATGCTTTATGTAACTCGAGTGCCAGCCCGGTCATCTGCTGGGCTCTGAGCTGCTGGCCTGGCATTCGAGTAACCAGCGAGACCTGCCACCCGCCAGGCAGCGATGCTTCCCTTTTTATTTTCCCAGGGAGCAATGACTTTGATCGTGGAAGTCTAGTTCCATAGCTGCAGTGTGGTTATACATATGGTTTTATTTGTAATGATCACAAAGTTTATGTAAATAAAAACAAACTTACTAAGGACAGATCCTGTGCTATCCACTCACAGGAGGTCCCAGAGATGCCACATCCGGGGCCAGGAGGGAGAAGGTGGGAGCCGAGGGCTGGGAAGGGTGAGCCAGTGTTTAGTGGGAACAGGGCTCCAGCAGGGAAGATGGGAGGCATCTGGAGAGAGGGGTCCCCAACAATGTGAATGTGCTTGATGCCAACACTTTTAAACTACATTTAAAAGTGGTGAAGGTGGTAAATTTTGTATGATACGTATTTTACCACCATAAAAAAAAAATCAATGGACCTCCCTGGTGGCGCAGAGGGTTAAGATGCAACCTGTGAAGCTATCTGCAGCCACTGCAGCACGAGTTCGATTCTTGGCCAGGGAGCTACCCACACGGCGCAGCAGACTTCTTCTGACTTGCCCACTGCTCCCCTCAGCAGTGTATTTCAGTCAGTCTGCCTGTTCTGTTCCCCACTCTGTCTCTGGTGGATCCTCTCACCCCCCGCACCTCTGGCCTGTGCCCCAGTTCTTGTATTCATAAATAAATAAATAAATAAATAAATAAATAAATATTTATTAAGAAATAAATCTTAAAAAAAAATCAAGCACAAACGCTGAACTCACTGTGACCAGCAGCTTCCTGTACCACCACGGTTTCTTCCTCCTCAGCTTCATTGAGGTATAATTGGCAAAGAAAACCAAATTTAAAGTGCACATCGTGCTGATTTGAGATGCGTGTACACAGGTGATAAGCATCACACAGGCTTGTCTTTTTTTTTTTTATCACTTTGTGAGGATGCTGAGGGTCTGCTTTTGGCATATTTCAGTGACACAATTCAGAGTTACCCACTCTGTGTTTTTTAGTCGTGGTAAAATATACACAAAGTTCACATTCTTAACTACTTTTCAGTGCACAGCTCAGTGGCTTCCAGCACAGTCACATGGTAACCCACCCCTCCATCTCCAGAACTTTCCCATCTTTCCAAACTGAACTCTGTCCCTGGTGAAACCCCCTTCTCCCTGCCCTGGCTCCCACCTTCTCCCTGCCGGCTCTGAGTTGATCTGTCCCCGGGGCCTCCCTCTGCTTTGCTCTATGGCCATGGGAAACCCTGGGGTCCCGAGTTCCAGGCAGTGGGCGCCAGCAAGGCGGCGGGTGGAGGAGCGAAGCTTGTGCAGCTCAAAGGCACAGCCTCCCCAGAACAGCACCAGGAGCCCCTGTCCTTGCCTGGCCACCCAGAAGGACCGCCGCTCTGCTGTCATGGGAAGGGAAGCTTCCGGCTGTCCCTCGCCCACCACACCACCGCTAGCCCCTAACAGCCGGACAGGTCACTGCGTGTCTGTTAATAAGCATGAGGAGTATTTTTAAGAGTCCCCTGCAGGCTTTCAAAGCTGTGTAAGTACTTGAGCTTCCAAGCGGACTCGCGCCGCTCACAGGAGGCCCTTGGGGACCTTTGTTTGCTGGAGCCATCAAATGTGGAGCTTCTTTTGCTCGGTGGACATTGGAGGAGCATGCTAGGCCCGGGGCTGGCGGCAGGAGAGATGGATCCGGGACTGTCATGGTTTAGCCCACGGAGAGCATGGGGTGTCCCGTGTGCACTCCGACCCTGGGCAGCGGGCGCTGTCTCCAGCCCCGGCTCCTCTGCCCCAGCAGGGATGACATGGCTCCAATGACTGGGCACACCCCCCCAGCCCCTTGAGATGCCCGACACATCCCAGACACTGCCCAGCGGGGTGTTGGCTCAGAATCACCCTGCTGGGCAGAGCCGTGGCTCCAGCCTGACCCGCGATGCCTGGTAGGCCGTGGGTTCTTTGCGCTGTGGAGGTGACTGTCCACGCAACCAGCGGGCCGGGAGCCGGGCCTGCGGGACCCTCTAGGCTCTGCCCGTGCACTCCGTGGTTGGTTGGTGTTGCTGGGCAGTGCTGGCCCCCCAGTCTTGTCTGACTCTCTTCTGCCACCACCCCGGCTCCCCTCGTGTCACAGGATATTCCCACCTCGGGGCTTTGCTCCCTCTTTCTGCCACGTCTGAACCACTTTACATCGAGACAGGCCACGGCTCACTCCTTTACTGAGTCGGGGGCTGCTCATTATTGGGGCCAAATCTCTGAGATGTCCCCAGACTCTGTCTTTTCGCCCCAACACTGAGCCGTGTGGTTCCTAGAGGCAGGGCTGGCCTGGCCCCAACAATTGCAGCCATGGTCATGGTGGCCAGCAGCATCCGGTGCGTGGACACGGACCCCTGCAGGCCTTCTGGGGGGGGTCTTTATTTTCCCACCAGAACTTGAACCCAAACCCGACCCCAACTTCTGCCCACCTGGCCCCTTCTCTCCACCCTCGGCATCGCTGAGCCCTGAGCTGCCTATTCTGCTCCCCAGGGCTGAAGCTGCCCTCCAGGACCTGGTCTCCCCCATTCGAGTCCGAGGGTGCCCAGAAGCACAACCAGAGCGAGTACGAGGAGGCGGCCGGTGAGTGCTGCTCCTGCCCCAAGACCGACTCCCAGATCCTGAAGGAGCTGGAGGAATCCTCGTTCAGGAAGACCTTCGAGGACTACCTGCACAACGTGGTCTTCGTCCCCAGGTCAGGCCCTTTGGGAGGAAACAGGAGGAAGTGGGAGACCAGTGGGGACGCGGGGCCCTGGGCGATGGAGGCGCATCCTAGCAACGCCTGCCAGGCCCACATTGACTTACTGCTGCATCTCCAGCTCAGTGCGGTCTCTCTGAATAACCTTCTAGAACCTTCCACAGCAACATCAAAACCAAGATTTGTATTTAAATATGTTGAGTGTCCTTTCATGGCCAAGAACCTGGCCACCCTGCATCTTGTCAGCCGAGGGAGCTTGCAGTAGAAATTGCCCTTCCTGCCGGCAGAGATGCTTCGGGGAAAGGACAGTATTTGTGGATCACAGGTTACTTCCTCTCGCTCAGTGCTCAGTTCACCATTTGCAAAGTGGGGATAAAAATAGTTCTGATCTGGGGCCTCCCCTGGTGGCGCAGCGGTTGAGTGCTGGGTTGCGAGGTTGCCCGCAGCCTCTGCAGCGCCAGTTCGATCCCTGGCCACTGGCGAAGGTCTCACCAAAAAAAAAAAAAAAAAAAAGAAATCAAAAATAGTTCTGATCTGCCAGGATTCTGAGTTTACGTGAATCACAGATTCCCAACTAAGGCAGACGCCACTGCAAAGACCCGGCAACCCCTGGCCATTTGGTGGAAACTGCAGAAGCCTTACCTTGGGCTCCAACAAGATTCTGAGATGTGATTTTTCAAGGGCCGCCACTGCTCCTCATTCAGTAGATGTTTCCCCAAGACCCCCAATAGGCAGTGTTCCTTCTTTTTTTTTTCCGCACTTTTTCTCTATGACCCTGAGTCCGGGAATGCTAAACAGCACTGTCTTCCTGCTAAAAGCAAAATGCCTGCCAGGGAAATGCTTGAGTAGGTCGTGAGACTTCGATGCAGTTGAGTCTGACATTAGGGAACCCCGCTGGCCAGGTGTTTGGGGGTCACACCGGCTTGCTGACTTTCCCCTCCCTTCCTGCTTTGCTCGTCACACCTACCGGGAATGTGGGACTCGGGCACTGGGGTGGAGGGGCCTGCACTCAGCTACTTGATGGAATGTGGCTTCCTGGCATCAGGGGCCAGAGGTCTGTCCAAAGGTCCGTCTGTCCTCAAAGTGGATGGTTTTGTTTTCACAGAAAATCCTCTCCAAGCCCTGGTGCCAAGGACAGTAGGTAGGACTCGCCCGCTGGGTGTCGGGCCCAGGGCAGGCCACAGCCAGGCGGTGGGAGCATGCGTGTCCTTTCACCCCAGGGTACAGTGGCTTGGTGCATGTGTTAGGTCTTCCGCGACCGAACACTTCACTGTCACATTGAATGCCTGACCTTGAAGTGGGATCTGGGCACAAATATGGGGAAAATCTCAACTAACACACTTGCACTCAAACATTGCGTTGAGGGTGGTGCCCCTGGTGTGTGCCACACACTGCCCCATCCCACCCGTGTTCACCCACTAAACATTTGCCAGCAGCTGCTGTGTGTGCCTGGTGCCTGGGGTGTCATCACGCAGCGCAGGGAGGGGAAAGTGATCTGGGGACCGGAAATTGTTATTTGGGGTGATAGGTGCAAGACCTCAGATTTGAGCAAAGATGCCACCCAGACAAGTCAGTCAGCACTGCTCCCTTCGACTTGGTTTTAAAGAATGAAAGGGGTTGCCCCCAGGGCAGAGAGAGCTGAGGTCACAAGGCCGGACTGGAATGGCCCATGGGGTCTTGGGAAGGGATTTTCTAAAGTTGGTTTATTTTTAGGCATTTGTGGCCCTGGTCTGACCTCTAGTGGCCATGCAGGTTACTACATAGTCTGTAGTAGAGAAGGGCCTAGAAATCTGGGGCATTGGCCAGACGAGGGTTTCTCAGCCTCAACTCTGTGCGTTTTGGTTCCGCACTGGATAATCTCCAGTTCTGGGTTCTGTGTATCACAGGGTGCTAGGGAGCGTCTGTGGTCTCTGCCCACACTTGTCCCTTCAGCAGTGGCCACCAAAGATGCCCCCGACAGGACAGGCGCCAGCGTTGGGCCAGGGGCTGGGCAGGCTCTCCTGGCTGAGAGCCGGTAGTCTCGGGTGAAGTTGTGAGATAATGAGGTGTGCGTGCAGGAAGATTCTGTGGACATCTCCTTGGGGATCCTTTTTGACCATTTTGTGATCTTTTTGGATCAAAGCCTTTTGGTGTATATGTCTTTGGCCTGTTCGATGAGAATCTCCTCCACTTCCAGGTGTTCAGACACCAGTTTCTTAGTAGCTCACGAGGTGTTTTGGTCATTTTGGAAGACCTACTATATGTGAATGAAGACCTACTGTGTGTGCCCGTAGAGGAATGTTCTGAATTTTGCTACTGTAGCAGGTGTTTTTGGTTTGGTGTCTATCTAAGGGTGCGATTGGTCTTCTAATATAAAAATGACAACAAAGAAAATCTTTGCAAGCATCTGCCAAGGAGGGCTTGTTTTCTGACTATAGAACTTATGAAACTAAAGGTTAACTTGGAAAGCTCCAATAGGAAACTCTGGCGATGTTACTTTAACAAAACAACAACAACAAATTATCTACTGGGTCAAAGCAGAAATGGAAACTTTCATGGTGGTCCATTTGAAAAGTAATGGAAACATGGCTGTTACATGGCTTAACTTGTAGAATATTGCCAAAGCTGGCTTTGATGAAGTTACACTTATCATGGTCTCATAAATTAAGAAAAAAGGTTAATGTAAAATTAAAGGGAAAAATAAACTAATCAAGTTTTACTGGACAAAAAAACTATAAAGGTATAAATGTATTGGGGAGAAGGAGAAATTGATGTAGCTAAATGCGTGGTGAATGTAACCAAAGGGGAAAAAGTACAAATAATTGGAATTAAAGAATATGAGATAAAACCAGAGTCTGAATATTTTAGTTTAATTTTCTGGACAACTGTGTGCTGTTCAAGTTGAAATTTTTGAGTAAGGTGGGAAATTTTAACGTGTAGCCAATTCAAAAAGCAATAGAAAAGCTACAAATTCTTGTACCTTTGGTAAAATAGTTTTTGAAGTACATATGCCCACTAATTTCCCTACAAGGCTCTGGGCCCAAAGAATTTACAGGTAAATTCTTTCAAACTCTGAAAGAACTATTTCTTGTAATATGGAAACCTTTAAAGAGCATAGCCAGGTATGGAATTCTTCCCACTTCATTTTATGAAAACTGATCTAATCCCCCTAGAGGACCTGGCAAAGATGGGACATTGAAAGAAAACCTCAGCTAATGTGGGATTAGATCCAAGTGTCCTAAATAAAACTCTGTGCTGGCAGACTCACTTATCTCAGAAGTTCAAGGAGGGCTTAAGATCAGGAGTTCTGATACTATAATCTCGTTCATCCAGAGGTCCAGCAAGGGGAATCACAATCCTCTCTTTCAGTAAGGTTAATTAAAAACTCCTAATTCCCAGGAAGGGGGTGGGAGATTAGAGCTTTTATAACACTCGGAGTAGAATACTTCTGCAATAAGATAGACATTGCCTAGGTGAAACCAACATACTAACATCATTTAAAAAAACAAAAACTTAAGCTCTGTTCTTTATATAAAGCTACCACCATTCTTAAAACTATTCCTGTTAATGTTGGAAGGAGTCCATGTCATAATTACTGATGTTTCTTTAGGTATCTAGTCACTGCACTGAGACACAAAACCAATATCAAAATTGAAAAGAATGGATCGTGGAAATAATCAGTTCATTGATATTTGCAGAGAGCCTCGTGCAAGGGCAGATTGAATCTGGTCCTGAGCGTGCTGCCTGCTTTTTGCCTATGACACTATTGGAATGTCAGCCTGTTATAGGACAGAGAGAGGGGCAGCCCAAACCCCGCAAACCTGCCTATTCTAAATGGGTTCTGCCATCCGCCGCATCAACACAAAACATATGAGACTTTAATGGGAAGGAACTTTAATAAAACTAGGAAACAATACAGGTAAGGCAAATAATCTAGTTTCTAAATCAAGCACCCAAAGTTACCCGTCCCCTCGTGGGTAAAAGTCCATCCATATGGGAATGGCGCAGAACAAGGCCCCAAAGCCTGCCACAAGTCTAAAGCACCTTCCAGTGGGGACCCACAGAAAAGGGTCACAAACAACCGGACAAGCCCGGAAGGAAAAGAGCAAAATCAACATCCAGATAAAAGCTGCCATGGTCACCTCCCCACGGGTCTCACCCACATCTGTGTCACCCAGTCCACGACCAAAAGACAAGCGCAGTTTCTTCACATGTCTCTAGGCTCCTTGCGCCTCCTCCAGGTCTCCTGGCTCCATCCTGCTTCCTTCCTCAGTCTCTTCTGCCGCTTCTCCTCTTCCTGCTCAGCTCCACCCTCCCTTGGGAGGGGCAGGGAACCTCCCCCTTTCCTGGGGACCACCCTGTTACAAGCCTACCCACTTGTACATATTGTCCATGGCTGCTTGCAAGCTACAATGGCCTGACAGTCGTCGAAAGTTTTTGTAATAATGAGGTCGTGACAAAGATGCGTGTCCCATGAAATATTCTGACCCTTTTCTAGTAAGGTCTTTGAAAATCAACTCCTAGACTAAGGCAGAGAAAGTAGGTATAATGTAAATAAACAAAAAGCCAGGAGATACACTAGCAACGATTAGCATGCAACACAGGAAAAGATCCCTCTCCTAATGGCCATTAGACCTTTGTAACTCCATCTAGAATTACCTGCAAACATTTGCTGAGATATAAAGTTTGACAGATAAATGTGAAAGACTCAAATCCATTTCAATCAAGCTCCCTTGCAAAGAGCAAAGCAGGGTAAATCGCACGTACAATCGATAAAAGGATCAATGTCCTTTGTGAATAAACAACACAGATGTAGGACTGAAGCAATCTCTAGGACTTCATGGAAAAATAGGCAAAGTATAAAAATGGGCCATTTTCTAGAGAAACACAGAAGAAGCAATAAAAGTGTTCAGACTCAGCAGTACAAAGAAATACAAGTCAGGCAGTGGACCATGCCCTAAAAATACCTTTCAGATAGAAAATCGGAAAGAAAAAAAACAAACACAGAGAAAACCCGAAAACCACCTCTTCTGCCCCAGGGTGGCTGAGGTTACCCAGAGGTGCAGTTTCAAGGTTCCTGCTGAGACCGCAGTCAATACTCAGGCTGCCTGAGGCTGCAGACAGCAGCATAACCCTTCCTATTCAGGGGTTTAACCCAGTGATTGCTTTTTTTTTTTTTAAGTCACTCATTAAAAATCTACTTTTAGGATCAGCCATACAATAGTCAAAGCAATATTTATCACGGCAGAAAGAACATGGGAGCACTTACACTCACACAACAAAGGGAGGTAAAGGGGATGTTTTACAGCCATGAAATGCCTTCCAAGTTTTGAGCAACCATCTTAATGAGAAGGGAAAACCTTAACATTGAAAAAAAAAAAAAAAAAACCTTAAATTCTGTCTGCTTAAGACATTATGTGTTAAGGAGGATGTTTGACCAGGCTTTCAAATCAGGTTTAAAAAGTGGATTACAAAACTGGCTTGATCCTTCCTCATATGTGTGGGAGAAATTTATAGAAAAAAATTGCCCACAGGAAACAGCAGACAATGAAATGGACAGTTATTAGATTTTCTTTATACTCTTTGGGATGTATTAATTTTTAGACTGTCCACATTTATTTCTTAGCGCATCTTTTAAGGTGGAGAGGAAGTATACCAGTTGCATAGGTATTTTTTGGAATTATCCTTACCAGCCTAAATAAGAATTTTTTTTTAACCAAGAATTGAAGTTAAATCACTCAGTTTATGCAGGTGCTCCTGCTGGTCATAAGGATTAGAAGGTGTATTTTTTTCTATCCACATGGTGATATAGATCAGTAGCTTGGGCCGCAGGCAAAGGCCCTGGGCAGGGCTTCTGGAAATGCTGGAGGTTTGCATTTTACTCAACACTGATTCTGGGAGGCCTGTTAATTTGCAAAATGAACACTGAAATCAAGCATGCTGAAGGCAAACATCAGGGGTGTCTGCTACTGATGGGCCTGGGCCTCCCGCTTCTGCTCTGGAGGGTCCACCCTGATATTTACCAAGTTTCTGAGGACATCTTGAAAACCGCACTGGGCTGCCATTTCTGGAAATCTGTGTTTTAATCTATGTACCTCCTCGCATCCCAGCCCCGCGTTTTAAGTCTGCTTCTCCAGCATGATGGTGAAGGAGTCGGCGGGCGCGTGACTGCATGTCCCTGTCGTTGCAGACCGTCCAGGAAGCGCCGGGCCCTCAGTGAGGTCGCCAACGCCACGGCAGCCGTGCCCACGGCCCCCGGCTTCCCCAACACCTCTTCCACCAGCGCGCCCACCAGCTCCGAGGAGCACAGGCCATTTGAGAAGGTGGTGAACAAGGAGTCCCTGGTCATCTCCGGCCTGCGCCACTTCACAGGGTACCGCATCGAGCTGCAGGCCTGCAACAAGGACGCCCCCGAAGAGCGGTGCAGCGTGGCGGCCTATGTCAGTGCCAGGACCATGCCCGAAGGTGGGTGGCGCGGCCCTGGTGCCTCCTGCAGGCACCCGATGGGCTTGGGTGTTGTGTGTGCACTTGTGCTTTTATTTTTTGCTGAGATATAATGGACATAGAACACATATGACATTGGGTGAATTTAAGGTGTGTTGATTTGATGCAATTTATATATTGCAAAATGAGCAACTCCCCCCACCCTCGCAATTTGGTAGCACTTCTATCATCGCACACAATGACCTTTACGTTTTTTGTGGCAAGAACATCTCAGAAGGACATAAAGCTGCCATTATGGGGTGCACCTTCAAGATCCCCAGAACATTTTCATCTTCTGGCCGGAACTTTGTATTCTTGACCCAACATCTCCCACCTCGGGCCCTGGAACCATCCTTTTATCTGCTTCTGCGAATTTGACACTTAGATTCCACATAGAAGTGAGAATTGAATTATAATGATATTTAATAAATTACTCAGATTTTAAGCATGTAGGAAATTACCTCAGTAACATTTACTCCTAGCACAGATACGGAGGGCTGGATCCGAAAATCCCTAATGTAGTAATCCTATCTTTGTGGATGTTTTCCTCCAACAATAATAAAAACTATGATTATTTCTTGAGCACTTCCTAGCGAGTACCTATCTTCAGGGCACTTTCCATATAACAATTCATTTAAACCCAAATCCACTCTGGTCTGCAGAGTACTTAGTAGCAGGGACCAGGGCTAATCTCCCAGTTTCAGAAATGTTTATTCTGCACTTATGTGGGGTGTTTTCACTGGGGAAATGGGCCAACACAGGAGCTCTCTGTGCTAATTTTGCAACATCTTGGGAATCTTAAATGAGTTCAGAATAAAAAGTACAAAAAGAAAATAACACTTTTAATCTTCTTAGCAATCCTGTGAGGTGAGTTTTGTTTGTCCATTCTCCCAGGGGGCAAATGGAACACAGCAAAGTTATGTAACCGGCTCAAGGTTGCTGGGCTGGTAATGGTAAAGTTAGGATTTGATCCAGAAGTCAGGTCTCTGCCTCTAACCACTGCTCCTTACAGCCAAGGCAGATGATATCGTCGGCCCAGTGACCCACGAGATCTTCGAGAATAATGTAGTTCACTTGATGTGGCAGGAGCCAAAGGAGCCCAACGGGCTGATCGTGCTGTACGAAGTGAGTTATCGGCGCTATGGCGATGAGGTAAGGCCCCGACTCTCGGCTGTGCACCTTCAAGGCGGTGGTTGGTACTTCTGTCCTCTTCTTAAATTCTGGCCCAAATGATTCCCTTGTTAGGTGCTTTATGGTGAGGACTTGATGCTTGACTCATATCATTCTGGGGAGCTGGGTCAGAAATGGCCACCTATAAACGTGTTTCTCTGGTTTCTTGTATTGCTTTAAAGCTCTGTCCTACATACAGGCTGGGTGATGGCTGCCTGCATTTGTGTCTTTCCTGACATGACAAGGGTCTCATTTCACTTTAGGGAACTATCTGAGTTTTAGAAAGATCCCTGAAAACCTTAATAAGAGACTATGAAAGAAAAGTAGAAATTTGGGGAGCTGAGTAAACCTGCTCAGGGCCACATTCCCAGTACTCAAACCTGACTGTTGGGCTCAGGTGCTTACCATCTACCTTTGAAGGTGATCACATAGGTCAGAGATCATTTTCTATAAAGGACTAGAGAGGCAATATTTCCAGCCTTAGGACCATACAGTCTCCAGAGCAGTTGCTCAACTCTGCCAGTATAGCCCCAATGCAGCCACAGCTACTATGTATATGAATGGGGGTGACAGTGTGCTGATAAAACTTTATTTACAAGAACAAACAGTGGGCTAGATTTAGCCTGTAGCCATAGTTTGCCAACACCTCACAGAAGTTATAGCAAAACTGCCAGATTACCTTAAACTTTAGGGTATAGTCATCCTCCTACCAGGTGGGCACAGAGGGGGATAGGTGGGTCTCCTTCTGTTGACCCCACCTCCCCTCCCCCACCCGGGACCACAGCAGCTCTTGGTGTGCAAATATTCAGCTTTGAGATGATTTGGAAGATGAATCAGCAAACTGTGACCTGTGGCCCACCCCCAGCCTGCAGTGTGCTTTCATACAGCCTGCAGAGAGTTGTGGAAAGAGACAAGAACCAACAGCAAATTTTAGATAATATAAATGCCCATACTGAAATTGTTATTCTTTGTCAGTCTGGGGGTCCAGTTTGCCAGGTGCATGACTTAATTTGCTTTTTTCTTAGCATCCATTTTAAAAATAAAGTTCTTATCATACCGAGTTTGGCTAGGTTTATGTTTCCATAAATTTGCGTGTACACCTCATCCGTTCTCTTGTGCTTTCTCTCACGTAGTCATGCCTCTGCCCACATAGCCCTCAGAATTATCATTTATCACCTCTCCAAAGGATCTAATCCGCGATTGCATCATCATTTGCTTGCTAATGTCTCTGTTTAAAGATATCTGGTTGCCTCTGTGCTAGGTAATACTAATTTCATTTGGAAAGCAATTTAGCTCTTTGTAGTATGAGCTGTAGCTATGGCCTTGGTCAGCTTTTGCTGTGTAACAAAGCACCCCTAAGAATACTGCTTGAAACAATACCCTTTCATTATTTCTCCTGATTATGTGGGTTCCCTGGCTGCTGCTTCTGCCCCAGGCCAGTTCCATGGGGGGAGTAGATAACCTCATTCACACCTCCTGGCCTCCCTCTGGGCGTGCTTTCATCACTCAGTGGGCTTGCCCAGGCTAGAAGGGCACATTTGGGTGTTTTCTATCCTTGGCTTTTTGGATAATGTTGCTCTAAACATTCATGTACAAGTTTTTGTGGGGGTGTATGTTTTCAGTTCTCTTCGGTGCATAAGTAGGAGTGAATTTCTGGGTCATATGGTGACCCTGTATTTTCCAAAACAGCCGCACCATTTTATGTTTCCACCAGCAGGGCATGCGGGCTGCCGTTTCTCTCCATCACAGCCAGGACTTGTTCTGGTCCATCTTTGTGATCATAGTCACGTCTGTGGTCTCCATTTGCATTTATGTGATGACTCATCTGGTGTGTGTTTGTGCCCTTCCCTGACCTCTGGGACTTCAGGCAGTCGGGTCAGCCCTACTAGGGTTGAGGGTGGGCTTCAGAGCAACGCGCAGGTGAAGTACAGCTTCCAAAGAAAGTGCAGGATGTTACTGGTAGCAAAGAGGACCATGGTGATTCTGTACAGTGAACAACCTGTTTCCACTGCTGACCTCCATCATGTTATTTCTGCTACTGTGTGACCAGCTGGTTCCCATTTGCTTGAAATTCCCCAGGCGCAGGCATTGAAGTCTCCCATCCCTGGTCTCGGGCAGTTGATTACTCTGTTCGCCTTAGACCCAACCCAGGCTGCCTTTGTGGGCCTGTCCCGGGAATCCAAGGGTCTCCAGTGTGGTCACCACCAAACCGGACAGCCTCTGCCCCACACAGCCCAGTCCCGTGTCCCTCGCATACAGTCCAGGGAAACAGAGAGGTAGGGGAAATGAGAGAGTGAGAAGTTCACAGTCAACTTCAGAAAACTCTTTCAGTGGCCGAGATTGGTCAGTTATAGCCAGCATTTTCCTTAATTCCTTCTCATGGCTTTGATGAAGTAAAAAGTAACATTAAGACTTTCTTTTCACCTCATTTATACTGTTGGGGTATGATTTTGCCTAAAAAATTCCACAAGCATTTGAAGGGAGGACTTTTTTAAATTTTTTCTTATTTGATAAGTGAATACCCCAAATCAACTCTAGTTGCAAGAATTTAGAATTTCTCTTTCCTTGAATCTTGCATTAAAATCTTGGTGTCCTTACGTGGGGTCGCCCTGCCCCCCGAGAACCCCCCCTTCCCGGGAGGAGCATGAGTTTCCATTTCCGGGAGCTCAGATCCTTGACTTACCCTCCCGTGCAGTTTTGGGCTCTTGTCCCTGATTGCACAAACTTTTACGTAATTGGCTTCTTAATCTCAGTCAGGCCGGGCTGCCTGTTGTTGTGTTCTGGTGTCTAAGGAGAACTCTGTGTCAGTTTCTGCCCTTCCTGGTCCCCACCCCTCGAGGTGGCCGGGCAGGTCATTGGAGGATGCGTTCCCCTTTGTCCCGGATAGCAGCTACGTTTGGTTTCTATATTTGCTTATTTGTGCCCCTCGGCCTGGTGACTCATCCTACTGGGAAGAACCTTTGGACTAGACTCCCCACCCTGCCGTCACCCAGATGTATTTTCTTGCTGTTATGGTCACATGGTGAGCACGGGAGTGTTTGCATTTCTTTCTCTCAATTCTCCCCCCTGAAATTTTCCAGGCCAGTTCTCTGCATGCACAATGAGCTTGGAGCTGTTTCAGACAGTTTTCAAAACTTGGCTGACGCTTGCAGGCTCCGTGGCGGTTTTCCACAGAGCCTCATGTTTGTCCTAATAAACCAGGCTTTCGCTGTCTTTCACCGCAGACGGCGTACTCGTGATCTCCCCTCCTCAGGTCAGGCTTTCAAGTAGATCCTGACTCTTAATGGTGGTGAAAGAAGTAAAACCAAGTCAAAAGTCTGTAGCATGGGAAAGAGGGAGTTTTTATCTGTCCTTGAGACTTCAGTCCGTGTATGTCTGGTCCTGGGGCGCAGAGGCCCGGGGTGCGGGGAAAGCCTGCTATGCCACTCAGGTGGCGCGAGTCCCTCTGTCCCACTGCGCTTTCTGGGGGCCTGGCGAGACTGCCCCACAGCGGCGTGGAGGAGGAACTCGAGCCGGGGCTGCTGGCCTCAAGGGCCGGCCCTGCCTCTCGCCGACTCATCTCCAGCGAGCCCTCTCATCTCCTCAGCCAACCTGTTTTCATGTGCTGTTTTTGTATGGCTCGGGGGACAAACAGACGGAAGAAGAACAGCATCTCATGCTATGAAAACCGGAGGCCATTCAGCGCCCAGGGCATTGCACTGGCTCACGCCCCATCCTGTTGGGGTTCTGGGCCTCTGGGGCTGCTCCACACTGCCCTGCGGGGCTGAGTCGGTGGCAGTGACTAGGAGCCGGGGGCAGGGCTGTCAGTCCCTCCCCGCACAAGTCTGCCCACCTCCGTCCTGCCTCTGTCCCGGGTTGGGGGGGAGGGTGCAGGGGCGGGGGTGTAAGAACGAAAGGAAAGGATTCGGCTGCCTGCTTGGTCTGTGGCTGGGGGGTCGGGTGGGGCATCACTGATATCGAGAACCTCAGCCACACAGTGGAGGCTCCCAAACTGCAGGGCGCCGGAAGTCTCTGGACCCAGACTGTGCACTGCTGCCGCCGTCACTCCTGGGGGGGGGCGGTTCCCCAGGGCAAGCAGCACACCCCACCGCCTCCTCTCCCCCTGTCTTCCAGGAACTGCACCTCTGTGTCTCCCGCAGGCACTTTGCTCTGGAGCGGGGGTGCAGGCTGCGCGGGCTGCCCCCCGGCAACTACAGCGTGCGGGTCCGGGCCACCTCTCTGGCGGGCAACGGCTCCTGGACAGAAGCCACCCACTTTTATGTGGCGGACTATTGTAAGTCTGCGGCTTGGACTCGGTGGGTCTGGGTGGGCGCTGGCATTTCAGAGGCTGGTTGGGGAGGCGAGGAGACGAGGGGCATGGCCCTGGGCACGACTGTGTGCAGCTGGGAAAAGGCACCTACCCTCTCTGAGCCTGCACGTCCTCGTCCATCCATGGGGACAGTAACAGAACCGGTCCCTGGGGTGCAGGTTTCAGTGATAGCGTGACTGTCTGGCACCTGGTGCGGGGCCATCCGCTGACCCGCTAGCTCCTGCGGCGGTTGTCTTGATCTCCAGTGGAGCCGGCAGGAGCCGACCCCCCAGTCTTGGGGGTGCCCTTGATATGCAGGCCGTGGGTGCTGCAGCTGGGGGAGCTGGACACACTGTGAACAGCAGAGCGGGGAGAGCTGGGGGAGGATGAACTGCCTGGGAATGCTTCCTGGAGGTGGTGATGACTTGGCCCAACACCTGATGGGAAACCAGGCACTTGGATGAGTCAGCAAACAAATGCCTGGGAAGGAGGGGTGCATTCTAGACCAGGGGAACAGGGATAAGGCTGCTTTCACTTCAGATGCAAGTTTGGGGGCTCTCCAGACCACTTGCACCCTGGCCAACTGGCTATGAATTTGGAGATTCCCACAACCTTCTAAGAATAGGCCCGCGACTCAGACGCAGGAAGGCACTGCGCTGGAGAGGACGGCCTCATTGTCGACGCTGTAAATTGGGACCAGCTGAGCGGGAAGACCTGCGGGGCGAAGGCGGGAGGCTCTCCACCCTGGAGCCCTGCGCTGTCTCCCTGTGGACGGCTGCCCTCCCCCACAACCATGCCACCGGCAGGGAGCTGCTCTGAGTGTGGTCCCCAGAGTTTTTACTGGGGTGTCATTACACAGGCGTGACTGGTTAAACCAGTGACCATGCACTTGAGCTCCATTCCAGCCCCTCCCGCTGTGGAGGCCAGAGCTTCTGACCCCAGGCCGGCCCATCTGGACAGCCCCGCCTGGGTTGTCCGGTCTCTAAGCATAGACTCAAGTGTGTTCCACGGGCGCATCAGCAACAAAGGAGGCCCAGAGGCTGTGGAGTCTCCCTCTTAAGAACTGGGAACACCATGAATAAAATCCCAAGGGAAATGTCAACATGGGCAAAATATTTATAACATAATTTAAGTTACTAGCCTTATTACAGAATCCTTACTACAAAAATATCATGAGTCAAAGGCATCTGTCCTAACACAATAATAAAAAAGGAACATATGTAGGCAATTGAAAAAGAAATATTAAAAACCAGAAAACATGAGGAGAAATGTCCAACTGCTCTCAAAGCCATACCAAAAAATGCAAATTAAAGCAAGATAGAATTCACCACATTGGGAGAGCTTTGTTTGTGTCTGGTTTTCACTCCATCGCTGCGGCCAGTGTCAAAGGGTTTTTTCCGGGTGGGGTGGGGAGCGCACTTGCCTTTATTTTGCCTGGTTCTTTCTGGCAACCAGATTGTGCTCAGTTTAACGTGCCAGCTGTTCAGCGAGCAGGGGCAGGATTCCCTGGCACACACGGGCCACCTCCTGGGGAATTTTTCATTTGCCAGAAGTACAGTGGTGTTGAGAGAGGCTGTTTAGACACAAGCTGAAAATGCAGGGGCGGGGCTTTAAGTCACTGACTTTCCAGCGGAACGTCCACTAGAGGTCGCCCTTCTCAGGGGGGCCCTCGAGGGCAGGCCAGTGGACAGTCCTGGCTGGAGAAAGGAGGCCGGGACAGTGGGGGGCGGTCTGGGGACAAGGGTGTGAACACAGGTCTCTGGGGCCACCTCCACGCCATGGAGCTAAGCGGTATTTCAGGATACTGGGAAGTAAGGGCCCAGGCGGCCCGCAGGCTCGGAGATGCAGGGACAAGGGCCCAGTAGGCCCCCGGAGCCAGAGACAAGGGGACGAGGGCCCAGAAGGTCTGAGGAGCCCAGAGACAAGGGCACGAGAGAAGGGGGCGGGGGCGGGGGGCTCTCCAGGGCTGGCGTAGCTTGATTTATGATGTGAACACATTTTGATGCGAACTGTCTCTCACTCTATTTCAGTAGATGTCCCGTCCAATATTGCAAAAATTATCATCGGCCCCCTCATCTTTGTGTTTCTCTTCAGTCTTGTGATTGGAAGCATTTATCTGTTCCTGAGGAAGAGGTGAGCGGGAAGGTGGTAGCAACAGTCTCTCTAGAAAGCTGTATCCTAGACATAGGTGGGGATGCCTCTGAGTTCGTTGTAAATTTTATTGATGTAAAGGATACATCACCTGCAATTTAGAAAATTATTATAAGAATAACATAAAATAGATTTTTTAATCACAAATGCCCTTCCTCTAGCCATTGATTTTCACCAAATGCTTACGCGAATTTTCCCTCTGAATCGTTGAATCTATGTCCGGCCTAAGGATCCAGTTGATGAGCAAGTGTAGTCCCAGGTTGAACGGTGATTGGTGTTTTGTTGACACTAAAGACAGAAGTGGAATAAGATACAGAGGTTCGTCGGTGATAGAAGTGCCTTTGCTGAGTCCGAAGAGTGATTCTTAAATTCTGGAGGACACTGTCTCGGTTTATGGGTGCCCTTCCCATTGTCACAGCTACAGAGATGACACACGTCATCTGTGCTTTAAACACTTTTTTTTAAGATTTATGCACACAAGAGCTGGGGTACAGGCCAGAGGTGTTGGGGGTGAGAGGATTCACCCGAGACAGAGTGGGGAACAGAACAGGTAGATGGACTGAAATACACTGCTGAGGGGAGCAGCGGGCGAGACAGAAGAGGTCTGCTGCGCCATGTGGGTTGCTCCCTGGCCGGAGGGGGATCGAACTCGTGCTGCAGAGGCTGCGGACAGCTTCATAGGTTGCATCTTAACCCCCTGCACCACCTGGGAGGACCCTAAATGCTTTTTTCTATCACTTCCTCAAGCCTGCAAAACAACAGATCAGTCCAGTCTTGGTTTTCTGCCCCCTCTTCCTGTGGTGAGAATATCCCCGTTATAGCCAATCTCAAGCCTGGCCGTGGGTGACTGCGGGGTCAGGAAGAGGCAGGTCGCTCACCGTTGTCCACTGTTGCACCAGACAGACCCCAAAGCAGAGATAAACGGGCCATGTGAGAGCCTCAAGGGCTCTATTATAGTCAAATAAAGCACAATAATTAGGAGGTGATGAATTATAAGGCTCTATAATTTAATTTTGCATGATGGTTGTATTCACCCACTTGCTTGCAAATGTCCTGAAAATGAAAAGCTGTTTCTTGGGAATTGGCGTGAGTGAGGGCCGCAGAGGGCAGGCTGGGAGGCCATTAGGTGTTACGTGATGACCAGAGATTACAATTTGCAGGCTGAGTCTTAAGTGAACCTCTGACGGGCTTCACTCAAAGCATCAGTGTGTCCCTGGCCCCCTCGCTGTGTCCAGGACCATGTGGATGCCAGTGGGGTGGCTGGTCCCCTTAGAAGGCCTCCTGCTAGTGGCCCAGGGTGGTCTCTGAGGATCCCCTGCTGACACGGCTCCATTTCACTCTTCCAGGCAGCCGGATGGGCCGCTGGGACCCCTGTATGCGTCTTCAAACCCCGAGTACCTCAGTGCCAGCGATGGTGAGTTCCATCCTCCCCAGGGTGCCAGGGCCCTGCTGTGTGGGTCCCTCTGTCACCACCCTCAAGTGAAAGCAGGGGTCAGCATCCGGGACACCCAGCTGAGCCCTGGAGTCTCATGGAGCTTGCACCCCCTGCCCCTGCCCCGGGAGCAGTCAGACACTTGCTCATGTCCACAGGTGCAGTGGTGATGGCCTAGACTCCCCCTTATACAGGGTGGGGCTGTGGGCGTTGTGGCTGGTTTAATTTTCACCTGTGCCCACCCCCTTGGCAAATGCACAAACAGCTTCAGATGGGAGGGAGCATCGCCTGCGTCCTTTTGTATTGAGGGCTCCAAACCGAACAGAAAGGACGGGCTTGCAGGCTCGGCCGGAGCCTAGACCATGAGGGGCCTGTCTCCTGCTTCTGCTGTGCCCCCGCGAGGACAGGGACACGTACTGTCCTGGTCTTGGTCCAGTAACTGGCAGGGCTCCTGGATCGCAGTCACCTAATGAATGTTTGTGGGGTCTGGGTGTTGGGGGCGAGGGGGGGTGCTGGGGCCCCAGAACCCAGTGGGGTGGGCGTGTAGATGAGTGAGGAGCAGTGTTCCCGTGTTCTGTGTATGTGCCGGACGAGTGGGAGGTGCCGCGGGAGAAGATCGCGCTGCTGCGGGAGCTGGGCCAGGGCTCCTTCGGCATGGTGTACGAGGGCAACGCCAGGGACATCATTAAGGGCGAGGCGGAGACGCGCGTGGCGGTGAAGACGGTCAACGAGTCCGCCAGTCTTCGGGAGCGGATCGAGTTCCTCAACGAGGCCTCGGTCATGAAGGGCTTCACCTGCCACCACGTGGTGAGTGTGGCGGGCGGCCGCGCCACCCCTTCTCCGGTCCTACCTCCACCACCCCGCCTGGAGCGGGTTCTTCGCTGCCCCATTACTTTCCGGAACCTTCCAGGGCTGTCCTCTTCCTGCCTCCTTCATAACCCTGAAATCATGGTGGTTCGCTCCACCCCAGCTCCCTTTAGCCCATCCCCTCAAGTCAGCACAGGCTCTTCCTGCCCTTCTGCTCACAGCGCTCCCTGAGCATCTCTCGGGGCCTCCCAGCCTTCCACCTTTGCCTCAGGCATGTTTAGGGGCCACCACTCTGTGCTTGGACCCCGCGCTGGTCTCGTGACCAGCAGATCCTCTCTCGCGGGGCCTCCAGCACAGCAGGCAGAACAGATGTAACCCAGCAGGCTACTGCCGCCTCTGCCCTGGGAGATGTCACCGGGAGCTGGGAGAGGAGGTGGGCTCAGAGGACGGGGCCCGGGCATCTTAAGGATGTAGGAAGTGAGCTGTGTGGGCATGTGAGGGGTCAGTCAACAGCCGTGCAGAGGCCTGGAGGGGGTCGGCCTCGTGAGCTCAGGGACATCACCCCTTCCTCCCCTGCCCCCAGCAAGGTGTCCACGCTGGGCTTTGAGCGGGGCAGACCAGGAACACAGGGTCACCACATTCCCCCACGACCAGGGTGCTGTGTGTGACAGGCGGGGAGGCCTGGGTGAGTGACAGTCTTCTGTGGCCCCTCATTCAGTCCCTCCCCGCGCTCCCCTACAGGTGCGCCTCCTGGGGGTGGTGTCCAAAGGCCAGCCGACCTTGGTGGTGATGGAGCTGATGGCGCACGGGGACCTGAAGAGCTACCTGCGTTCCCTGCGGCCGGAGGCTGAGGTGAGCGTCTTCCCGGCTCCCGCGGGGCCCACAACTGCGCAGGCCCCAGGGGCGCTGAGCACAGCCCTGTTCTGACTTCAGAATAACCCCGGCCGCCCCCCGCCCACCCTGCAAGAGATGATCCAGATGGCAGCGGAGATCGCAGATGGAATGGCCTACCTGAACGCCAAGAAGTTCGTGCACCGCGACCTCGCAGCGCGGAACTGCATGGTCGCCCATGACTTCACCGTCAAAATCGGAGGTTGGTCTGCCGTCCTGGCTTGAGAATGCCCCACGCTGATTTGGTTTTTGGTTTTTTTGTAAAGATTTATTTATGCATGCATGCAAGAACTGGGATGCAGGCCAGAGATGCAGGGGGTGGTGAGAGGATTCACAAGAGACAGAGTGGGGAGCAAAACAGGGGGATCCACTGAAATCCACTGCTGAGGGCAGCAGCCGGGAGACAGGAGAGGTCTGCTGCGCCATGTGGGTAGCTCCCTGGCTGAGATCAAACTCAGCCTGCAGAGGCTGCGGACAGCTTCATAGTGCTGAGATTTGAACCCTTGCACCACCAGGAAGGCCCCCACGCTGATTTTCATTTCAGGAGTTTTCTATAATCTTTTTGGATGATGTAAAGGAGCAGCGTTTGGGTTGGGGACCTGTTTTCCAACTAATTTTAATTGCATTCATTTATTCACTCATTCTTTGAATATTATTTGTGACCCCCGAACATGCAGGTCACCAAGGGGGGACCTTGGGCGCAGTGATGACCAAGTCGCCAGGATTCTCCTGCCTGCCTATGGCTTGGAGTCTTGGCACAGTAGCCACGGGCTGCGTGTGCTCATTCATGTTCAAATTAATTTGAATTAAGTAAAATAAAATATCGAGTCTGTCATTTGCACTGGACACATTTCAGGCGTTCAGTAGCTGCCTTGGGCCAGTGGCTGCCATACTGGACATGTTCACAGACAGAGGGTTCTGCTGGACAAAGCTGTTCCAGATGAACAATAGAGCAGTCACTGCTCCTGTGAACAAGACAATGAAGACTGGGAAGACAGTGCTGACGGAAGTAAGGAGTTCCGTGCTAGAGAAGAAATCCTTTCTCTGTAAGGATACCAAGCATCGAAGAGTTAGCAGTTGACCTAAGTGACAGCATCACGGTGTGGGGGTGCACGTGGCGGGCGCTGCGGTGCACGCCGAGGCTGGGGGCTGGAGGACAGTGGACGTGATGTGAATGAGATGCGTGCAGAGAGGAGCGCGAGACAGGAAGTCTGGGCGGAGAGAGGTGGTTGCCACCCCCAGGCGGGTCTTGCAGGATGTGGCGAGTCGTCCAGATGGTCTCCCCACACAGCCGGGGAAGCAGGATGCACCAGGGTTCTGTTTAATCATCAGAAAGACGTGATCTCATGTCAGCAGGGAAGAGGAAGTGACGCCCTGTATTCCCCAAAGACCTTATCCTGCCGTAGGAAGGTGGCAAGCAAGAGGGGACATGGCCCTGTTCAGTTTCTCCTGGACAGTGGGTGTCGGGGTCAGGATGGAGGGAGGGTCCTGTGGCTGGAGGTGTGGTGGGCCTGGGTGGCCAGAGTGAGGAGGAGAACAGGATGGATTCGAGGGGGCGTCACGTCACGGTGGGTGGGCAGGACTCCTCGCTGCCTTGGACATGGGGTATGAGGAAAGTGGGTGGCCAGTGAAGTCCCTAGACATGGGTTTCTGGCAGGGTACCTGGCTGACCGGTGGGGCCGCTTGCAACAAGGAGCAGCAGGCTGGCCGCAGAGAGTCAGAAGCTCAGTCTGGGAAGCCCGTGCAGCCGTGGGTGGGAAGGGACTGCTGGGAATGCGGCTCCTGAGCTGTAGGCCGAATGTCGCCTCTGCCACTTGGGGATTCCTTTTCCTTCCCTTGTAAATCGTGGCCGCCCCCCGCTCCCTGCATGAATACATTTAGAATTCATTCTCACTGGGTTTAGCCACCACCCAGGTGGGCACACCTCTGGGGCAGGTAAGTCTCCTTGAGGCTCTACAGGAGGGGGTGGTGAGGGTGGTGGGCACCGGGCAGTAGGCTGAAGGTTAAGAACATGTGAATTGTCTGTTGTTAGACTTTGGAATGACCAGAGACATCTACGAAACGGATTACTACCGGAAAGGGGGCAAGGGCCTGCTCCCCGTGCGCTGGATGGCACCGGAATCCCTGAAAGATGGGGTTTTTACCACTTCTTCCGACATGTGGTGAGTTGTGTGTGGACTGGCAGACAGAACCCTGGGCCAGAATTCCAGGCTGCTTTGCTGGCGTGACTGGCTAGAGAGGACACTTAACACTGGCCTTCCTCATGACCTCCCCATCAAGATGAAGGGACGTCCCCCTGGGATCGATGCAAGGCTGCCGTGGTGTTCTGGTTGAGGCTAATCCTATTAGTATTTCTGAATGGCAGCATAAATCATTTAATGAACTGGTCGAGCAGGTCTAGTTAACAAAGACATGATGGTTGTGTGTTTTGATGGTTTCTTGGCTCTGCTCTTGACTGTCATTGGCAGGTCCTTTGGCGTGGTCCTTTGGGAAATCACCAGCTTGGCAGAACAACCTTACCAAGGCCTGTCTAATGAGCAGGTGTTGAAGTTTGTCATGGATGGAGGGTTTCTGGATCAACCCGACAATTGTCCAGAGAGAGTGTAAGTGTGGAAGGGGGTCAGAGTGGGGAGTGTTTATTAAAAAGACTTTGTCCTTTGTATGCTTGTGTTTGCATGTCACGTCCACACGTGTGCTGGTATTGCATGCCGTGTCTGCACGCGTGCTGGTGTTTGTGTGTCGTGTCTTCTCATGCATGCTGTGCTTGCAATCATATCTCTACATGTATCCCGTATTTGCACGTCATGCTCACATGCACACGGTGCTTGCACATTGTATTTCTGCATGCACATTTGTGTTTACCTATCATGAGTACACACCAGCTTGTGTCTACATACACTGTCTTCACTGTACATGTTGCTGTATTACATATCTTTGGAAGGTCACATAAGGAACCTGGAAGCAGCTACCCTGGGAGGGGGCCGGGGACTGGAGTGGGGCACTTATGCGAAACTGTCTACTCTTTATATACCTAACATTTTGTGAGGAAACGGATATGATGCTATATGTCAATTATATCTCAATAAAAATAGAAAAATTAATCACTAAGCATAAGCATTCAAAATATTTTGTCAGGGATGTGTGTTAGATAGTCCTCCTAATTGTTTTAAATTTTAGCTATAAGACCAAATGGACAAAACACATGTGCACTCCATTAAACATGCACAAAAAATTGAAATGATGTAAATTTCCAGGAATAGGAGAATTGTCAATAAGTTGATAGATTAATAGGCGGTAGCAATGGAAATTTCAAATGATGCTTATGGAAACAGTATGTATGTAGCAAATGTCTCCAAATAGAAAAGAGGTTATTTTGAAGGATAGTTGTATGTCAGCTGTGTTTTCTCTACATCTTTGGGTGTTTTTTAACTTTCTGCATTTATTACACATAAATTCCCTTATCAGTGTTTATTAAGAAATAATCTTGCTCTCCTGAAAAATCCATGGAGCCAGACTTTTAATACTTTATTACCCCCAAAGTAAGACATCAATTAGCAAACATCATATAAAAACAAGTATGAAGCAGGATCTCTGAGAAAAGTATTTCTAAACATTGCCTCCTGAAGTTTCTTTTCTGGTCATGCCACTTAACAGCTGGCTCTTATTCTAGGACCAGAGAAATTAAATAGGCCCTAAGGTAGACTCCCACAAACTTTCTGTAAAGAGTCATACTGTAAATATTTTAAACCTTGTAGTCCTCATGGCTCTCTGGTAGCCCCTTGATTTTGTTGTGAGACTGGAAGGCAGCCAGATAAACACATAAATGAATGGGTCTGACTGTGTTAATAAAACTTTATTAACAAAAACATACAGAGGGCCACATTTGGTACATGGGCTGAAAGTCTACAGCCTCCTACCCTAGAAGAAGTTACAGGGGGAAAGGAAGAGATAAATGAAAACCATGCTCCCTGCTGCTGTCTGGTGTTTTCTTGGCTGAATCAAGTCATAGCCCCTCTGCGAGCGGGTGGGCTAAGCTGCAAGATGGCCGCTCAGAGCTGGCCTCTCGGTTCCGGCCACACAGCTGCACCGCGACGTGCAGTCATAAGTAAAATGGTGAACGATGCTCATCTTGTGGCAGCGTCAGGAGAGGCCCTTCTTGACCTGGCTGGAATGAGGCCGCTCCCTTGGGCGCTCCTCCAGACCACCTTTCAGCAACACAGTAGCTGTTTCTGCCTTAACATTGTCGGCACTTGTGGGTCCTCGCTGCTGGGAGCCTGGTCTCTGGCTTCTGTTGGACGCTAGGGCAGGGGACGGGGCTTCGTGGCCGGGCCCCCCCTCATCCCGTGTCCCTCTCTCCCGTAGCACCGACCTGATGCGCATGTGCTGGCAGTTCAACCCAAAGATGCGGCCGACCTTCCTGGAGATCGTGGACCTGCTCAAGGACGACCTGCACCCCAGCTTCCCGGAAGTTTCTTTCTTCCACAGCGAGGAGAACAAGGCGCCCGAGAGCGAGGAACTGGAGATGGAGTTTGAGGACATGGAGAGTGTCCCCCTGGACCGCTCCTCGCACTCCCAGAGAGAGGAGGCCGGGGGCCGGGACGGCGGGTCCGCGCTGGGCCTCAAGCGGAACTACGAGGAGCACATCCCCTACACCCACATGAACGGGGGCAAGAAGAACGGCCGGATTCTGACTCTGCCTCGGTCCAGTCCTTCCTAACGGTGCCTGTGGGGGGCTGGGTTCCTGTCTTCACTTTCCTCTGGATTCGAAGGCCTCTAGAAAACTCAGGATTCCCACACGACTCTGCCACAGTGTCAGACGGAGCTCAGAGATCATTACATTTCTGTTCCTCTTACGACTGAAAACATTGATTGCCAGCCTGACCAGTCGTCAGAGTATTTAACTGTGAACACAGGGGAGGGGTTTCCACAGCTGCTGTCCTTTCGGCCGTCTGGTGTCAAGCCAGGATGCTCTTTTATTTTTTTCCTAGTAGATTGAAAGAAAGCGCCTGTTTTTACAAAGATTTGTGTGCGTGTGTGCTGGTGTCTGAGCTACAGTGTAGAGCTTGTTTGTGGAACAAATATTTGAAAGAAAAAAAAAAATGCCCCCGTGGAAACCCAGGCTTGAGGGGATGAGCTGCCGGCGAGTCCCTCTCAAACAGGCTGAAGGATTTTTTTTCCCTTCACAAAATCAGTTCCTCAAATTGACCAATAGCTGCTGCTTTCATACTTTTGATAAGGATTGCAGTCCCAGCACGCCACTCACGAGTGTGTGTCTAGGCGAGACACGGCTGGTGGTGTGTGTGCGGGCGTGTGTGGGGTGCGCACAGACACGCACCTGCTTGCGCAGCATTCGTGCTGGGTGGACACGAAGGAGCTCCTGATCCCCCCGTTTCTCCTTCCTCCTCATCTGCTGGGAGACTTTACCCTCAACATATCCTTGTGTCCCACGTCTAGCCTCAGGAGTCTTTTCTCCCTTAACTTGGGTGAAAAATGTTTTTCGGGAGCTGAGGAGTAAGTAGCGTTTAGTTTGGGGTGATAGTGGGTCTTTTAAAGACCAAACAAAGCCAGGACAGAAAAAAAGGACAGGAAAAAGAAAGTACAGAGGTGACAGAGTTTTGAGAATATATTTGTGACATATTTAATTTTTTAAAAGTCTCCAGTGTCAACCTCGTAAGTTATTGACAGTTTCCTGGGACTGGGGGGAGAGGGTCTTGGGATGGGGAGTGGGAGGAGACACGGTGACCTCTTTGTTTGGTCTTAAAAGCATCCCTCTTTCTGGGAATAAAGCCACGTTAGCTGCTAACTCTGACGGACGTTGTAGGCCATGCTGAGGGCGGGGGTGCGGGGCTTGGTGGATGGTTTGGCTTCTGCTTGGATGAGCTGGCAGCAGCCTACAGGTGAGTCCGGCCAGACCCAGTGTGGCTCGGAGCTTCTGTCCCCTGTGTGTGCCTTGCTCGCTTCCTCAGCTGGGTGTGCAACGCCTACAGCTTTTGGGCAAACCACAGAGTCAGATGAAGAGGGACGGACTTCAGAACACTAAGCAATATATGCAGATGCTGGGCCCCCAGGCGACCCACCAGCCTCAGAACCGGCCTCCCAGAAGCTGCTCTGCGCCAGCGACCTGAGCTGTGTCAGGTGTGGGGCTGGAGAAGAACCCTCAGGTGCTGACGACGTCGCGATTCCTAAGAGAGTAGAGTCTGGAGGAGAAACCGCTAAGGACCTTCACGCACCGGGACTTCCCTAACGCGTGAATCCACCGTTTCTTCCCTTTCGGGGGGGAAACCACAGCTGCTCAAATAAAGGACACAGTGAAGTCATTACTTGGGTTCATCCACATCATCCTCCACAGGTTATTCCTGCGTGCATTTTCGCTCAAGCTTTTGATTGTTTCCTTCTCTGAAGAGCTGTGGGCTTGAGAACAGGACAGAGGCAATGGTGACCTCAGCTTCCTCACTTCTTAAGCACACAGGTAGACACGAATCCCAGTTGCCTACTGCGATTTTATTTATATGATTTGAGAAATTATAGCATGTAAAATATTTCTGGGGCGCCTCAGTGATTGGGTACAAGAAGCAAGTATACAGAAGTTATTTTCGCCAAATTTGTTTTGTACATATTAGAGGGTCTGGATGTCAATTAGAAAAACGTAGATCTAGGTATTTTGTTGTTTCCGTAGTCAATTTGTAGTGGCTGTGTGCCACAGTAGCAGCAGTTTTCACATTTTTCTAATTAAGAAAGGTTTTCTTATATTAGGGGAAATTATTTATTTTAATATATAAAAATCACTGTAAAAATCACTTTCATAAAAAAAAAAAAAATGGAGCGCATGTAAATTTTTATCCAAGAAAAATAAACAGGTGAATGTGGGGTAATGATTTTCTTTCCAGCACAGTCTACCTCAGTGTATCATTAGGATGTGGTTTAACAATGGACATCTTTGAGACTTTCGAATCCTGCCTGGATCTCATCTGAATCGGGGAAATCTATATTAGCTGATTCTGGAATGCCAGAGACTAGGAAGAATCTCGAGGGAGGGAGTTTAGATAGACAAAGTGTGGTTTTTGTGTGAGCACAGATCCTTTTCCTGGCCGAGAAAATTCTTCTCTGAATTTAACTTCCTTTATTTTAATCCATCAGTTGACACCAAGCTCCCCAGACAAGCCCTCATCAAACAAGGCATTAGCGTGCCTGTGATGTGTGAGGCCCCAGGCCTCAGCCTCCTGCCTTTATTGGGGAGCAGATGTCTTTACTGGGGTAAAGACAGTCTCCAGTTCAGGGCCAGCACCCCACTGTCCCACTGTGTTCCCCCAAGTGGGCACCCCCAAGCCCTGGGCTCTCTCTGTGCCTTCTTCCCTCTCCTTTCAGGTTGAGATCCGTTTTGGGGTGAAAAACATCACACTCGTGGCACTCCACACACAAACACCCAATACAGTGTCTCCTTTTATTTTCCAAAAAGGGGGGGGGGAGCATGTTGAGAAATTCTGATCCCAAACCCACCAGCATGCCCGATACAGTTATCAGAACCATGTCCCTCTGTTTTGGGGTCTGGTTGATTGCAAGCCAATCCCTTCTGGCCTGGTGGGCCCTTGAGACCTTGTGTGCAGACCCGGGCAGAGCCTTGTAGTCAAGGCTTCGCCGCGTTCAGCGGCCTTGGTTGCTGCAGTAAAGCAAGCAGCGTTGGGTCACAGTTCTGCCTCCTTCCGCAGCAGATATTGTTGACTACCACCAGAATGTTCTGGAAAGGCCTGGCTGTCCAGGGGATTTGTTGTGATGAGTTACAAAAAAAAAAGCCGGCTTGAGTACTTGTGTGTGACGCTGTCTCACTGTCACGAAACCCTTTTCCTTGATGTGGCTTTGGGTGGTGTTTGCATCCCGGAGAATCCCCACTTGCTCCCTGAACCGGGGAGCGACCTGCGTGGCATTGTTTGTCCTTGGGACTGTCCTGGGTGCTGTCCTGTTTCAAGCGAGCAGGAAGGAGAGAGGATGCAGCTCTCCAGCAGACGTTGAGCACAACTGAAAGAAAATGCACAAATGGGTGCAAGGCACTGCCCCGCAACTGGGGACCACCCCTAGCTCCCCACATTGTCCCCCATGGCGCGTGAGTGTGCAGTGGGGTGGCTTGCTCCGGCCACGGGCGCACCGCCCCGGATGCCCACGCCGGCCGTCGGGCGAGCACCACAGTCCCAATGGCAATCACTGCTCTGCTCTGTGGTGGGTGGAAGTTTGGGGTTGAATGTCTTTTGGATGCTCCTTGGTGAGTCGTGACACCTGAGGCTATTTAGAAATTAGGGCTTTGTTGGGGGCTGGGGAGGGAGGAAATGCCTTCAGAAAATCTTCCAGAATGTTCTTCAGAATATTAATTGACACCAGAGGTGAGGTTGGGAGTGCGGAGAACTTCCCAGCCTTTGTTCTTTCAAACATGGGAATAATGTAAAGGGTTCTAGGGGCTGCAACTGAAAGTGAATGTTTCTTTCCGGTCCCCTAGAAAGAGGGGAGCAATGAATTTGTGAGCTCACGGTTGCGCTCTCATACCGTTCAAGGTACAGAACCAGCCATGGGGCACATTTTTATTTGGGTGCAGGCCCTAAAAATCCTTGGTCAAAATCGCATCTTGAGCGGAGCCCTTGGTCCCCTGGAGACAGAAGGAGCGGCCTGCACGAGGGCGCGGAGCACACGTCGGGCAGGCAGCTCCGGCTGTGCCTGGGGCCTCACCCTGCCCCAGCGGACACCTCCCGCCCCTCAGCTTTGTGCCCTCACATGTGCCGTGGCTTGTGTGGAAAACAACTCTTTTCTGAAACCCACCAAAAGCTCAGTTATTTTTTGTCTGTGTTTTCCTACAAGAGCCAAGTAGTGCCATGTACAGAATATGCCTTTCTTTTGAATATCAGAATCACTTTGCATGTATAATATGGGATAATTATCTGTTTATATTAAAATTCTGAATAAATTATCTGAGAATATCTTGGTTTTGTGTGGTGTCAGGAGAGGACCTGTGAAGTGTGGGTTGTGGCTACAGCTTGGGCTGTGTGGAAGGAAACCTCCGGAAGCTGTGAGCAGCTGTTTGAGAGAAGCAAACATGCAGATGCTTCCAGACCACGAAGCAGGGGAGGACTGCCCCTACCCCCAGGGCTGACATTCCTTGCTACAGGCCCATGTGGGTGGACCTTCCACTTCAATGAACCATTGGGCTGTCAGCAAAGTCATAAATCATTTTTGCTTGAAAAACAAAGAATACATCCAGACTTTTCTGACAACCCAATATTTCCATATCATTTGATAACTGACACCCCCAAGCACCCCAGGATTCACCTCAGTCTCCCCGTGAGATCCTGGGGGGCCTGCAAGGCCCTGCTCTCTTTACACACTAAATATTTTTAATGTCCTCCTGGGAGTGCTAACCTGACCTGGCAGGCAGCCAACCAGCCGGGGGGACAACGGCTTGAAGGAAGACTGTGAAGGGCCTTCCTTGTCGGAGGCCGGGGGTGGTAAGGAAACAGGGCCCCACCAGCTCCCCGTGTGACTTTGAGCAAGTCACGGGACTTCGCAGCCTTGTTTTGCTGTAGAACAAAAGCCCCCAGACCGTGTGGCTTAAAATAGCAAACATTTCTTTCTTGCAGTCCTGTGTGGTGGCTGGGTGGGAGCGCAGGCCACGGCCCACACTGTGTGAGGCCTCTGCTGGGTCTTGGGGCCCTCCGCCCTCTGGGGGGCTGGTGGGGGCTGCTCAGGGGGCAGTGGGTGTGGCAGACCCAGCGGGGAGAGAGAGCAAGCTTGAGGTACCAGTGCTTTCCAAACATCCGCTGCGTGGTGTCAAACACACATCTGCTTGTCAGGAGGTCACATGGACAGACCCAGCATCGGGGGCTGCCTGAGAGCTTGGGTACAGGAGGTGGGAGTCCGTCCTGCAAGAATTGCCTACATGTCTGTATCGGCAGGAATGGGCACGGGGCAGGATCTTTATGACCCAAGCAGATGGGTGAAGGAGAGAGTCCTGGAGTCCTCAGTGGTTTTTCAGGCTTTATTGGGATTTTACTGGGTACACGGCAGGCAGAGGTACTGGGGGGCCAGGAGGCTGGCAGGCCTCCCAGCCCCTGGCAAGACTGCACTCTTTCTGGGCTCTCCGGCCTGCTGTTGCGTTCTCTCTGCTTCTCTTGTGGTTCTGCTGGCGTCCCGTCCCCGTGATGCCGCCCATATGAGCTCAGTCTCTCAGCCCAGGTGTACCCACTTACGCATGCCCACACCCCACTCCAGGTGCCGCCATCAGGCATGCGTTGAGGACCGCAGGGATCCATCATCCATCCTGATGGCGGGAGGGCAGAAAAGCCTGATGCTTTTTCATTTACTCTACAACATCTCCCTTGATCCTCCTTTCACTGAAGACAATAGACCCTGCTCGGCAGGACCATAGTGAGGATCAAGCGAGGTAACAGCCTTCTCATTCTCTCCAGGTCGTCCTCCCTACCCCGAGTTAATGTGTTTCAGGCAACAGAATCTTCTTACAGTGCTAGAGAAGAAACAGCCGGGAGTTGTGAAAGTGTCAGTGGGAAGGTTTTTATTCAGGAGCTACTGCAAGAGGAGAGGGTCTGCCTAGCACTGGGTTCCGCTCCCAACACAGTGTGAAGTGGGGGTGGCTGGTCAAGGTCAGAGTCTGGGGCTGTGGATGAAAATCACTGCGGAAACGTGGGCAGGTGGGTTCTGATTAAACAGACCTAAGAGGATCCTGCTGAGGACAGGTGGGGGGCGGGTCACATACTACACACGTGAGAAACGTAACCCTTCACCTGTCACCCGTCTGTAGTGCCCGGAAGGCACCGAGCTGGTTCTCTAAGACCCGAGCAGACGGGGTGAAGGAGGAGCCTTGGAGCCCTCGGTGGCTTTTCAGGCTTTATTTGGGATTTACCTGGTGCAAGGCAGGCAGGGGTGCTGCGGGGCCGGGAGGCTGGCAGGCTTCCCAGCCCCCAGTGAGTCCTCTCTCTTCCTGGGCTCCCCGGCCTTCTCGTGGTCTCTGCCTCTCTGCTGGTGCTGCTCTTCTGGTCTGCTGTTCCCGCTTGTTCTCTGCTGGTGGTTCTGGTCTGTAAGGGGCAGGACATGGGCACAGGTGCAGGTTTTCTGATCCCATGCAGACCGGGTAAAGGAGGAGTCAGAGTCCTCAGTAGTTTTGCAGGTTTTTTATTTGGGGTTCACCAGGCATATGGCAGGCAGGGGTGCTGGCTGGGGGCTGGGAGGCTGGCAGGCCTCCCAGCCCCCAGCAAGTCTTCACTCTATTTGGGCTCTCTGGCGTTCTCTGCTTCTGCTTCGGCTTCTCCTTCAGGTTCTGCTGCTGCTGGCTGGGGCTGCTGGCGTCCCCCCGTGACGCCGCCCTTAAAAGCACAGTCTTAGCTCAGCTGAATCCCATCTACCTATGCCCACACCCTACTCCAGGTGCCCGCCATCAGGCATGCATTCAGGACAAGGATCCATCATCTATCCTGATGGCGGAAGGGCAGAAAAGCCTGATATTTTCTTTACCCTACAGTCCACCCCCTCAGGGTTTTCTGCCATACAGTCTATACATACATATACAATTTTCTAAGCAAACAAACAATGCAGCCATGGCCCACAAAAGCAAATACATCAAATATAACAAAATACAATATAACAAAATACAACAGAACACAAATAAGTCCAGGCAGGGCACCAACCAAGTGCAAAAGACAATTATTGGTACCAGCAGATGAGCCACCAAATCTGCTGCCGAAGGCGCTGCTCATACGAGGGAGGGGAATCACTCACGGCATCTACTATAACATACCAGGAGCCGTCAGGCTTCCTGGCCTTCTCTGGCTGTAGTCTCGGCTACAAGGCACACACAGCATCCACCCCCAGGATGCACTAGCTCTGGGATTGGCAATTTTATTCTGTTGGGGGTAATCGCCAACCCTCAGGGTTTCTGTCTGCAGTCGCTCCAACACTCGGCCTTCACGGCCACCAATGCGACTCACAGACCCCTGCACTCAAGCCAACCCACTGCACAATCACATGGGTTGGGGATCCAAACTCTGCATTCGGCTTGGGCTCCACCCCAAGCCACATTCCCCACCCGTCCCCCAAGGACAGGTTCCTCAGCTCCTCACCCTCGCTCAAGAATGACCAGGGCATCACCCACAGGTGATTTTACGAGACTCACAGTTCTTCAGCATACTCAGGCTGCTTAACAGCCACTTTAGGGCTTCTCAACTTAGCATCAGTACCAGCTTTTGCCACCTTAGTTGGCTTTTCTCCTCCACCTGGCCACTGGGCATACACAGGCTGCTTTTGGCCATCTAGGCCCACTGGCCACCCCCAGATTCTCAAAAAATAAACATAACCTGCTAAGGTCCTCCGCCTTCTGGCGGGATTGTCAGTCCAAAATCATCAGTTCATCAGTCTATCAGTCCATTGTCCTCTCCCTGCTTCAGCAATGGCCTGCTGCCTCAGGGGTCATTGGCTGGTCCTATCCGGTGTCGTTGGCTGGTCCTTTCCGGTGTCGTTGGCTGGTCCTATCCGGTGTCGTTGGCTGGTCCTTTCCGGTGTCGTTGGCTGGTCCTTTCGGGCGTCTCCTTCACGCCAGGTCTCATCCTGTAGCTCGTGGACGTATCCATCTTCTATACCGCCATGGCGCCTCCAGCGTCGTCACAGGCAAAGTCTGTTCTCCTTAGTCCCTCCAGGTCTTCGGAGGGCTCCAATACCCGTCTGCACGGATCTTGCCGACTTACGCCAATTGTAAGGGGCAGGACCGGGCACAGGTGCAGGTTTTCTGATCCCATGCAGACCGGGTAAAGGAGGAGTCAGAGTCCTCAGTAGTTTTGCAGGTTTTTTATTTGGGGTTCACCAGGCATATGGCAGGCAGGGGTGCTGGCTGGGGGGCTGGGAGGCTGGCAGGCCTCCCAGCCCCCAGCAAGTCTTCACTCTATTTGGGCTCTCTGGCATTCTCTGCTTCTGCTTCGGCTTCTCCTTCAGGTTCTGCTGCTGCTGGCTGGGGCTGCTGGCGTCCCCCCCGTGACGCCGCCCTTAAAAGCACAGTCTTAGCTCAGCTGAATCCCATCTACCTATGCCCACACCCTACTCCAGGTGCCCGCCATCAGGCATGCATTCAGGACAAGGATCCATCATCTATCCTGATGGCGGAAGGGCAGAAAAGCCTGATATTTTCTTTACCCTACATGGTCCTCTCCCGGCATCCCCGCGACGCTGCTCCCATAAGCCCAGTCTCAGCCCAGGTTTACCCACCTATGTAGGCCCACACCCTATGCCAGGTGCATTTCAGGCATGCATTCAGGACCAGAGGGTTCCATCATCAACGCTGATGGCAGAGGGCAGAAAAGCCTGATATTTTACTTTTACCCAACACCGTCTTTCCCGCGTCCCCTTCACTAGTTATGCAAAACATTTCACTCCCACTCATCAGATGCGTGCACCCCCTCACCCCCCCAAGCAATCCTGACACCAGCCCGGTGCCCTGCAATGCAGCCGGGACACTGTTGCCAGAGACAGCCCCGATTCCACGGCTAAGAGCTGCCGATCCCAAGAAGCCCCGCCTTGAATTTGATCATTTGCTGGAGTGACTAACAGAGCTCAGAGGAAGACTTCTGTTCACCGGTTTATTGAAGAACAGGGTAAATGGCACAGGTGAATGGCCCGTGGGGAGGCACACAGGTCTGGAGGGTTCTACACAGGAGTTTCCGTCCCCATGGCACCCGCAAGTCCTCCAAGTCCCACACAGTGGGGGCCTCCTCAGGCAGGTATGGCCAATCATTGACTCAGTTTCCAGCCCTTCTCGCATCTCTGGAGGGTGGAGAGTGGAGCTGAAAAATCTCATAACTGTAACAACTGTCTTTCTGGCGGCCAGTCCCCACTGGGGTCAGCTTGCCGCCGGCCCGCGCCACCTCACCAGCACACACGCCCCCGGCTCAGGAAACCAACAAAGGTTCCCAGGCCCTGCCCAAGAGCCAAGGGCTGAGAGCAGCGTGTATTTCCTCTTGTCAAACTGATCGCACGGCCGAGGAGGGATGTGGTTAGATCTCAGGGCGCAGGGGTCGCTCCAAAAGACTCAGAAAGACTTTTGCCGAAACTGGAGGATGCAGGCCAGAGAATGGCAGAGGATCAGCCTCGAGGATGTCATTAAAGTCGAGTGGCTTGAAAGCCAAGCAATGACTGGATTTTCAAACTAGCAAGGCCAGGAAGCAGCCTTCCGACTCCTGTCAGAGTCTATATCCCTCATCAAGACACTAAAGGGTCTGCGAGACCAAAAGTGGGGAAGTGGCTGTGAGTTATCTCATTACAGGCCCTGGTCTGGCCTGCAGGGGCCGGTGAGGCGGCCGAGCCCCTGGGCAGTTCCTTGTTGGGTCCGGGATTCTGGACCTTCTACCCCAAGAAACTGGTATTCGATGACCTGAGAGATTGTGGCCGTTTGCTCTTTGGGAGCTTCGTCTCATGTGTTCCGTCTTTCTCACTTTTTTCCCCAGCTAGTATCTAGTTGGCTCTTTTTTTAGTTACTATTATCAGCAAGTGATCATGTTGGGGGCCTTGTGGCCAGCCCCAAGGACCTCGACTGACCCCCAGGTCGCCGCCAGGGCAGCTGGCGCGGCACGTGCTGTGAAGGCAGGCAAGGACCGCCGAGCCTCGGCAGTCGGGCGACGCTCCGAGGGCCGCGGGGGGACTTGTGCGCGAATCCCCCCCACAGCAGAACTATGAAAGGTGACTGACACCATGGAAACACCACCAGGTCAGGGGGCCCCAGCAGGAGAGACATGTTTGATCACCTGCCGGGCCACGGCCACCCGGAAGAGGTGGCCCAGGACGACTGGCCGACCGCGTCCTCAGGGACCTAAAGCCAGACAACCTGCTTTTGGAAACTGACCTGAACATCAGGGTTGCAGACTTTGGCTTCAGCAACGAGTCCACCATGGGCCACAAGCTGAAGCCCTCTGGGGCAGCCTCTTCTGCCGACCCAAACTCACCAGGACCCAAAGCACAGTGGCCCCAAGCTGAGTGTGTGGAGGCTGGGGGTGGGGCACCCTCTGCAGGACGCCCACACCTGCGCCTCTCAGTGGAGGAGCCGGCCTAGAACTGCCAGGTGGGTGCTGAGCAGAACGTGCCACAGCCCTCGGCCCCAGCAGGTAAGGTCGCAAGGCTGAGCGGCATGAAGAGAATTCAGGCCTTACATCGAGACTCCCCCTGACTATGAGACCCCCTGGCGCAGAGGGGATGTTATCCATGGGCTACGGGTGGGACCAGATCCGGGATCCATTGATGGGCTGGAAGTAGCGTAACCCCTGACCCGGGCTGCAGGAGACCCATGGCGGAGACTGACCCAGCACCATAAAGCACCCCTTCCGCTGATGCCGCCGACTGTGGGTCCTTCCCCAGCCTCCACAGCTCGGCCTGGGATCTTGTCCACTAAAGAGGGTTTCATTGAGCTGACCATTCCAGTCTTCGCTGTGTTTTGCAAGTCAGAAAGTCAGAGGCCAGGAGAGGACCGAGAGTCAGGTAGAAGGCCAGCAGCACAGCCAATATGCCCTCGAGGTCCCCGGCCTGGAGACAGGGACAGCCCCTGGCAGAGCCTCAAACGTGGCTTCGGGGCCTCCTCTGAGCACAGCTTCCCCATCGGTGCTGGAGCCCACAGAGGAACAGCTGCCCCCAGGGTGTGCCCTACAAAGGAGTTGCCCTCTGTGCTGGGAAATCAGTGGTGTGACCCCAGCCTCTTTCTCTGGCAACAGCCAGGACTGGTAGGGCGGGGGCGGCTCCTCAACTTTGCAAGAGCAGCAGGTGCTCAGGAATGGGTGACGCTAATGACAGCTCACAAGGTGGACAGCTGGGCAGGGGTAAAATCAAAGACTGTGGGGAGGTCATTTTGAAAGGAGAACAGGAAGAGTCTGAGCCCGAAGGGCCAAGCACATGATGCAGGAGATCACCCGGGCTGGGCCCAAGCAGCCCCAGGCGGGCTCAGCCGGAACAGGCTGTGCGGGCACGTGGCGGCCCGGCGGCCCGGGGCTGTGTCCCGGGCAGGACAGATGCGCAGACGGCTGAGGGGTCTCTGCATGGGATTCAAATCAAGGGGGCACCCAGCACCTCCGTGGCATTCAGTGGCATTCAGTGACGGGTGAGGCAAGGAGGTCAGGAGCTGCCGGGAGCTGGACGAAGCTCCGGAGAGGGTCCTTTCTCCCCCGCTGCACGTCTCTCTTCGTCTTTCATTTCTGTCAGGGAGGGGGGCTGGCCCTGGAGAAATAAACACAGAAGGACACAAAACTTAAAGGGAACGACTTAACTGTATTTTCTGAGTTGCTTTGAATGCCGGCTTGTAGGAGGTGAGCGCTGGGCAGTTCTAGAGAACACGGGAGCGCTACCACTTTCCACCGGCTCCCACAGTGACAGCAGGTAGCAGCAGCGCTTCCTACAGGCCGAGGCCTCTCCGTGCCATTTCACCTCCTTTCAGCCACAAACTCACTGCGAGCAGATGGGGATGCCCAGCAGGGCCTGCAGGCTGGCAGAGCCAGCAGGAGCCCCGCCCTCTGCCATCTCCCTGGCTCCCCTGGTGCAGGAGAGCTTCCGGATCTGGACTGGAGAGGGGGGTCCAGCGGGATGCTCCTCCATTCCTCTCCTGCCTCATGTCAAAATCTTGTGACCTAAGGGCCTCCCTGGTGGCTCAGTACGGAGATAACTTAAGTAAAAATGGAAAAGCCACACACAATCCATGAAAATTGATGCTAGATTTTTACCCCAAAAATATGAAAACACGGATGAAAGATTTATGCACACCTTTGTTCATAGCAGCATTATCCACAGCAACGTAAGTGCCCAGCAGCAGATGACTGCAGAAAGAAATTATGGAATTTGTTCAATTGGATGCTCAGTTATTTGAAAAGATGAAATTTTGCCTTTTGGGACAAAATAGATGATCTTGAGTTGATTATGCTGCAAGAAATAAGTCAGAAAGACAAGTAACAGATGGCTTGGCCTCCATGCGGAGTGTGAGTAACCGAAGCACAGAGAGTAATGCTCGGACCCTGGAAACAACGCTGGTCGCAGAGGGACAGCGAGGAAAGAGAAGGGGCTGCTGGAAAGGGGGCCGTCCCTGCCGCGGGGGTTGTAGTGGTGAGTGTGACGCTTGTGCACGTACAGGCGTGACGGCGGACCCCCAAATTCACACACAATGTGTAAGCAACAATGACAAAGGGGTGCAGTCCAGGGAAAGCGCAGCCCGAAGGCGCCTCTGCGGCCCCTGAGGGCTGGGGACGAGGCGCGGCCTGGGCTGGGGAGGCCGGAGGCCCAGGGGGGCGGCAGCCGCGGGCGGGCTCCGCAGCGGGGCGGGGGCGCGCGGGGCGGGCGGGTCTCGAGGAGGGGCTCAGTGACATCATTTCTTTCGAAAGCAGCTAAAAGATTGAGAGAACTTAACCCTGACCTTCATGTGAACCGCGCTGGAGACCCGGGGGGCGGCGCGGCGGCGGCGCGGGGGCTGGGGCTGGGCTCCCGCGGGCGAGGCGGGCGCAGGCGGCGGGGCGCGACCGGCGCCCCCGACGCGCGCAGGCCCCGACCCGCGGCCGCCTGCCCGGCCGGCGCGGCCTCCCGCGGCGCTGCCTCTCTCCGCGCTCACAGCGGGCGGCAGCGCGAGGCCGGCGAGGGGCGGCGCCCCCAGTCCAGGGGCGCGGGGCCCGGAGGGCCCGGAGGGTCCGGAGGCGCCCCCGGCGGCCCGAAGGGGGGGCCCGGAGCGGGCTTGCGGCCGCGCTTCCGTTTTAACCGGTAAGTTCACGCTTTCCAGGCCCGCGCACTCGGCGAGCGTTCCACGGAGCAACGGCCGAGCCCTCTGCGCCTGCAGCCTGGGGTCCCCCGCACCCCCAGGCCCCCCAGGAGGCGTGCCCTCAGAGCGGACGCTGGGCGTGGCGTGCCGTGACGGGGGCGTGCCATGCCGTGGTGGGGGCGTGGCTGTGGTTGGGGCGTGGCGTGCCGTGACGGGGCGTGGCTTAGGCGGCGGGGGCGTGGCGCCAGCGACGGGGCGTGGCTTCAGTGGCGGGGGCGTGGCTGTAGGGCAGGGCCCGGTGGGGGCCGGGGGACCTGCGAGAGGTGCTGGGACTCTGGCTGGTCTGCGACCGTCCAACCTGGACACAGGTCGTGCCACTCGTATCTCGCGGGCCCGGGCCAGTCGCTGGCGACTTCGGGGCGGGGTTTGGGCGGACCCCTGCTCTGCGGGGCCGGCGAGGCGGTTTCGGGGACACAGGACTGCAGTCGTCGGGGCGCCTGGTCCGCCGAGAGAACTGCTGGCCTCTCGTGTGGGTTCTGCGCCTGCCCAAAGGGGAATGATTCGGGGGAGGGAGGTGAAGGTTGGCAAACAGGCCGCCTGCAACTCGCCTTTGCCCCGCGTTGACGGCAGGACTCCCTGCCCACCCCCTGGCGCTGGGCCCTTGCGAATGGCCTGTCGGTCTCTTAAGAGCATCGTGTACTCCAGGTCCAGGAAGCTACTTGCTTTCCGAAGCTCTTTGAAAATCGGATATCCCAGAAACTTACTGTTTTGCCGGCTGCCCTCCACATGCTCCACTCAAAGTGTGCTATTTAGTCAGCTTCTGTTGCTTCTACGGCTAAAAATTGTGCGCATGACTTGCCAGGGCTTCTATGTCACCTGCCTTGTGGGGTGAGTTGGGAGAGCTCTAATTCTGAAGATCAAATTAATTTTAAAAGCATTTTATTTTGAAAAAGTTTTGACTTACATGAAAGTGTAACACTATCCAGGGTTGCAAAACTGTATCCAGGTTGCAAAACTGTACAGTCAATATTCATTTATATTTACTTAAATTTTGTCTCCTCATGATCTTCATTCCTTCATTCCTTCATTTTTGTCTCCTCATGATCTTCATTCTTGTGTCTTCATGTGGCAATGGGTCAGTTTCCCTCAGCCTGAAAATTATCCTTCGTTTTTCTTGAAGTATAGTTCTGGATTGATTTTTTTTCAGTTTTTTTTTTTTTTTAAATCCTGTCAGAATACTTTCTGCATTTCAAGGAATTTTTGTTGCTGTTTTTCATAGAATTTTGGGCTGCCAGATTTTTTTTTTTTTCATGAAACCCTCTAGAGATATTGTCTTCTTCCTTCCATAGTTTCTTTCAAAAAGTTCCTAGTATCACGTTGCTCTTTTGAAAGCAATTGTCCTTTTTCTTTGGTTGCTCTGAAGCCTTGCAGTGTCTTTCATTTTTTACAATTTGTGCACACATCCTCCATTTCCTTTAACATATTCCTAACTTCTCTGAGGTTCTTGTTTGCTAATTCCAATATCCAGAGTCCCTGGGCCCACTCCTATTGACCTACGTGGTCAGAGCAGAGAACACTTTCCTGTCTAGCTCTTTTTATCTTGTGTGCTCAATCTCGTTAATCCTTACGGAGGTTCTGAACTATGTCACCTTCCTCTGAATCTTTGGTTGTTATGGCAGGCAGTTATAAAATTAATAAATAGAATATATACCTTGAGTACAACAAATATATGTACCAATATATAACACTTCCATCCTATGAGGGCTAGATTTTAGATTCTGTGAGGAGCAGATCTCTCAGTTTTGTACTCTAGATGTAGTCCTTATTCTTAGTATTCTGTATTTGCTCTCAGGGCTTGACTTTCTAGGGTTTGAATAGGAGCCTAGCTGTTAAATATATATATATATATATATATAAACAAGGTCACTCCACTTCAGGAGAGCCCAAAAACCAATCTCTGAAATTTCTGCCCAGCTCCTCAGCTTGCAGGAGCTATTCTAAGCACAGCTGAGGTGCTTTTTAGGGATCTGAGAACTTTAAAGCAGATTTGGGGGGCTACTTGTCAATCCTTATTTTCTATTAGAAGATCCTCTGGAGATTTTTCAGGGGCAGGATGTCTTTTCTCTACGGAGCCCTGAAATCAACTATTTACCCAAAAAGCCTTTTTCATCCTTTTAGGATAGTATTTTAGAAACAAGACCTGGGTGACAGGTATTCTCTATGCTACTGCAAAGTCCCAGCTCCTAATCCTCCTGAGCTGACAGGTCTTGGAAATACACTAATGTGCACTACCCTGTGATTACCAACCCCCGCCCCCCCCGCCCCCATCGATCCCTACATGCATCCGGCCATCAAAGAGCATCAATTCATTCCGATAACTCCAATTCCAACCCAACACCAGTGTTCATTCTAGACTTCTCTTGTTTATAATATCTCTTTGACAGTGAGAAACTGGTACTCAATATTGATACTATATATACTTCTCGGCCCTCCCATACATCTATCAGAATTGCTAATCCATACCATTATGAGAAACAGTAGTTTGACCTAGAATAAAGGATTCATGGACAGTTCTTTTTGTGTTGGGCCTTATAGTATCTGACCAAAACAGTTTTCCAAAGTAAACTGGTTTCCTCCATTGAGGCTATGTTACTCATATATAACAGTTAGGTTCCCTTGCTAAAGCTTGCATCCCATCTTGTATTTCCTCTGCTACCTGATTAATTTCTATTTAGCCTCCAGTAATATTCATGCCTTTGGCATACAGTTCTATAGATTTCTGCAAGGTTAGAGTTGTGTATCCATCAACCCATCAACAACCTTGATAGAACAATTCCATCAGTCCCAGATTCTTTTGTGCTGCCTCGGTGTAGTTGTCTTTCTTTCTCCTTTTCCCTAAAAACCATCCATTTGCTGTTCTTCCCTAGTTTTGCCTTTTGCAGAATGTCATACAATAGAATCAGGCAATAAATGGCATTTTTTCCCTCTCATTTCTGTAACAAAATGTTTCAAATTGAGATAACTTACAGTGCAGCACACACATCTAAGGAGACAGCTAGTGCATTCTGACAAATGTACACACCTATGTGATCTACACTTCTTTCAGTGTATAGAACATTTCCACACCCCATCAAGTTCCTTCATGTCCCTTCTCAGTCAATTCCTGCTTTTGCTTAAGTTTATGGGCACATTATAGCCAAAAATTAGAGAATACATTTTTTAAACTTTAAAAAAAAAAGATTTATTTATTTACACAAGAGCTGGGGTACGGGCCAGAGGTGCGGGAGGGTGAGAGGATTCACCAGAGACAGAGCAGGGTGCAGAACAGGCAGAAGGACCGAAATACACTGCTGAGGGGAGCAATGGGCGAGACAGGAGAGGTCTGCCTCGCCATGTGGGAATCTCCCTGGCCAGCCGGGAATCGAACCCGCGCTGCAGAAGCCATGGACAGCTTCACAGTGCTGCGCTCAGTCCGCTGCGCCACCAGGGAGTCCCAGAGAATGGGCATGAAGCATTTGTTAAACTTGACCTACTAAAATCAGCAGCCTACATTTCACATTCAGCTGGACATTAACAGAGCATCACCTCAAAACCACCCAAAATTTAACAATTTTGGCTTCAACCAGCGGTTACTCTTAAATCCAAAAGAGAAGTCAAAGGCTCAGCAGACCAGAGCCAGCACTGCCAGTCAGAGGCTTTTGGAGTGCCTGTATCATGGTGGTGGTCGGCAGTTACACTGTGGTTTTATCACGATTAAAAGATAGCTCTTCCAAATTAGGCACAGTATACTTCCAATAAAAAGAATGGGCAAGATGAACAGGATGCAGGCAAAGGAGGCAAGCCAGATGGCGTTTCCTCCAGTGATGACCAGCAAAGTCGGACATCTCAGGGTTTCAGGCCAATCTCACAGATTATTTTCAGTATTGCTCTCTGACAACATGAACATTTTTTCCTTTTAGTAAATAAACGGGAGAATGGACATTGGGAAAGAAACTAAAAATAACTGCCATTGCAGGAGAGATAAACAACATCATAAAGTCCATTTACTTGACAAAAATGCCATTGTATTAGAAAAAAGGTATGTAGTGGGGCCTCCCTGGTGGCCTACAGGTTAAGTCTCAGTGCTACCCCCATAGTGGCCTGAGTTCGATCCCCTACCAGGGAGCTGACCCACAAGGCAGGGCAGACTTCTCCTGTCTCACCCGCTGCTCTCCTCAGCAGTGTATTTCAGTAGATCTGCCTGTTCTGCTCCCCACTCTGTCTCTGGTGAATCCTCTTACCCCCTGGACCTCTGGCCTACACCCCAGTTCTTATATGCATAAATAAAAATAAATCTTTAATAAAAAAAGAAAAAGGCATACAGCAAATAAAGTCTAATTTCCACCATGAGACTAAATCAACTCAGAAGGTTCAGAAATACATTTTTTACTATACATATTAATATTTTAGGGTAAATGACAATATATACAAAACCATGGGACATAATTTATGGTTTATTTTAGTGTACAGTTATAAATGCTTATACTAAAACAAAAAGACTTAAAATTCAGGAGTGGCCCAGCCAAAGGATGGGACAGTGACAAACGGAACCCCCACTCAGAACACTTTTGACTCTATAGGACTTGGCGTCCACGCAACGAAGAGCTGAGAAATCGCCACAGTGATTCCATCCCTAGGGCTCCCCTTGTGTGAGTCCTCACATTTCAACAAATACAGGAATCACTGGGACTTCCCAGTGAGAATGCACTGACAGGTCGTGCATCCAGGGAGAATCTATTTCCCTAGTGTTAAGAGGTATCCCTCGAGGCATTCTTCTTTCTTTATAGTCACGCATTTCTTCGCAGTGAGTACTCACAGGTTCCCAAGAATGTGGAAAAATGGAAATCTTTCCAATACTGATCACAAGTAATGGGGATTTTTCCTCCAGAATAAATCTTCCCAGCTCTTGAAATTTGAGGAAACATCCAAGGTTTTCCCACAGTGATGACCTTCAGAGTTTCTCACCATCTTCCGCTCAGGAATATAAATGCTTGATGCTGCAGGGTTTCCTGCGTTCCTCAGGCTTCCTCCGGAGTGGCTTCCTCATGTGTTTTCTAAGGGCTGAGTGTCCCTAAAAGCTTTTGCATTCTGATGATAGTCCGTTTTCCCCTTAGCGTGTTGTCACATGACTCCCTAGAGAGGTCACTGACATTTTCCTACAGCCACCATGTTCCCCATGTTTCTCACAATATACAACCTGTGCTGCACATCTGGGCGAGCTCGAGCTGAAAGCTTACCAGATTGTTCTCACGAGGTTTTTCTCCAGAGTGGATTCAGATGAGTTTCTGATGCCACTTCACTCTGAATACACCAAAGGTCTTTTATAATTCCACGGCAAGCGTCCTGTGGTTTCCAGTGATCTCTTTGTGTACACATAATCTGTGCAGGCTCCCCCACATTTTATCAAGATAGGTCTGTGAGACCAGTAAGTATGGTATAAGTGACAGCAAGTCTTCCTGACATATTAGCTCTCCCTCACACCAAATGATTTTGTGGGAACCTGCTGCTGTGTCATACAGCTACTTAGGCCTATGGAGAGTTCCACCTGGTGAAGAAATGAAGGTTCCTTGCCAACAATAGGGACTAAGAGACCCCAGTGAACAATTCTGGAAGTAGACTCTTCTGCAGTAAAAACTCAGATTGTAGCTCCTGTGACATCTTGAATGCATCCTCATGAGATATCCTGAGCCAGAACTACACAGATGTTTCCAAATTCCTGACTTAGATAAGTTGTGAGATAATATCAATGAATGCTGTTGTTTGATGAAACAATGATGTTTTGGAGGAAAATTTATTACGCAGCAACAGAGTTCACACATCAATGGTGAGTTACAAGCTGTCTGGAAATAAGAAGTCAGTGAATGCTATTCCAGTGACTATATTCATATCCACCTATTATGTATTCTCTTGTGCACTGAAAGGTAAGAGTTAGTGGTGAATGATTTTCCACACTGATTACATTCATAGGGTTTTTCTCCAGTGTGTGTTCTCACATGTTTCTTAACAGCTGAGAGATTATTAAAAGCCTTCCCACAATTACTGCACTCATAGGGTTTCTCTCCAGTATGAATTCTCTTGTGCACAGTGAGAGAAAAGCTACTGCTAAAGGATTTTCCGCACTGATTACACTCGTAGGGTTTTTCTCCAGTGTGAGTTCTCATATGCTGAGTCAGATATGAGCTCTTCCTAAAGGTCTTTCCACAATCGGGGCATTCGTAAGGTTTCTCTCCTGTGTGAATGCTATTGTGTCCAGTCAGGGAGGACCTCGTGCTGAAGGCCTTCCCACACTGATTACATTCGTGGTGATTCTCTCGTGTATGAATTCTCTTGTGGCTTTTGAGGTTACAACTAGTGCGGAAGACGTGAAAACACTGGTTACATTCGTAAGGCTTTTCCCCAGTGTGAATTCTCACATGCAGTCGCAGAGAGGAGGGGTCGTTGAAGGCTTTCCCACAGTCGTTGCATTCATAGGGTTTCTCCCCATTATGTATTCTCTTATGGATCGTCAGGTAAGACCTACTGCTGAAGGACTTTCCACACTGGTTACAGTCATAGGGTTTTTCTCCAGTGTGAATTCTCTTGTGCTGAGTAAGGTTAGATTTTGTGCTGAAGACTTTAAAACACTGATTACATTCATTGAGTTTCACTCCAAGGTGATTCCTTTCCTGTTGATTAAGAAAGCAATATAACTATAATTTGTAAAATTTTAACATTTAAAGCTATCTCATACATTCTCTACCAGAATTCTGTTCCATTATTATAATTGATGCCTTGATTATTTTCAGTACCTGTGCATGCTTTCTACTCAGCTTGATCACTTATAAATTTAAAAAGATAAAAGACGCTTTGCCACAAGTCCTTATCATAGTCACAGAGCATTTTCTGAACATTTAAAATCACTTCATGTTTCAAACATAAACTCAATATCTGAGTCACATCTAAGGAAATATTTACTTGTGGAAACACACCTTTAATGTCTATTTTTCCTCCAAATTTACAGTAGTTTCACAGTATCTCTCCAGAAACACTATTTTCTCATGTGCAAATGATACTTCTCTTTAATGTATATCTTGATTACTTTGTGGCTTTTCTAACTTAAGGAATTTTCCTACTGTGAAAACCTAGAAATCACCCAGTTGAGTCTTACCGCTTTCACACCATTAGAGTGTTCTTTTCTCAAAACATGCTTCTTAGGAGTCAGCCATTGGGCTTTAATTACAGTGTCCAAATCTGAAACAAATTGAAAGTAAATGTAAGTGGATGGAGAAAAATATAGTGAAGTGCACACATGAGTAAAGGCAAAACTCTGAGGGATTAGGTTTTTTTAGGAGGAACTTTGCAATGCAAAGAAGCTCAATACACACATGTAGGTACTATAAAATGACCCTGAGACAATTAACATTGATCAGAGGTTTGCAAAAGAACTAACAGGAATGCAAAGTTGAACTGGACAAAGAGCACAGCATATGCAGGACTTAAGTTCATACCAAATGTTCTTGGCCATCTGTGTAAAAAAAGGGACATTTTTGCCCAATCCACCTTTCCTCAGTAACACTCTCCAGCACCAGGACTCGCTGGCAGCAGCCAGTCCTCACATGGACTGTGGCTGCAGTGCTCACCTGGATGTGCGCCTGGGAGAGCTTCTCGCTCCTCTGCCGGCATCTTGCCCTCCTGTTCCCACTGGGAGAGCAGACTGGGTTTATCAACACGACACCCTAATTCATGGAGAAAAGACATATGTTTGGTGCAATCGTGCAGGTGACCAGCAACTGCATTAAACTGGAGCCAACAATTCTGCAGATGGGGAAGTATGATTTTTACAGCTGTGGAATAACTACACCTAGATTTTAGTGGACATATTCATTCTCAAAGAACAAAAAACACAAGTATCCTCACAAAACATCCAGGTGACAGGGCATAAAGAGTTTCAAGTCCCATGGCCAAGTTTAAACACGTACTTCAGAAGTCCTAAAGCTTTAACCATGGAGAATACAAAGCTGAGGTAAAGAAAAGACAATCATTTCATTGGGAAGGCAACAGATAAAACATCCATGAGGATAGACATGCCTATCTCATTTATCACTGTCTGACTAAACCCAGCACAGATCAGGAACAGAAGTGCTTATGAAAGAGTTCTGAAGGCCTCCATATATACAGAGCATTTTAGTAACAAAACAAAACAAAAACCCTCCACAGTACACATTCCTCTCAATTGCACATGGAACTTTTTCAAGACTAAACCCTATATATTGGGACAAGTCACAATAAATCTATAGATTGAAATCATATCAGGCATCTTTTTTGATCACAAGTTTAGGCAGAATCTGGAAACCAACCACAGAAAGCTAGAAAAAATTTTTAGAAATATGTGGACACTAAACAACATGCTATTAAAAAACATCAGGTCAACATGGAAATCAAAGGAGAAATTAAAAAAAAAAAAACACATGGAGAAAATGAAAATAACTAGAATTTGTGGCACACAACAGGAGCAGTACCAAGAGGTAAGTTTACAACAACATTAGTCTACCTCAAGAAATAACAAAAATCTCAAATACCAATCTGAACTTACACTTAGAGGAAATAGAAGAAAAATCAGATGTGAAATGAATTAGATAGAAAACCAAAAGACAGTCCAAAAGATCAGTGAAACCAAAAATTGATTGAAAAATAAAACTGACAAGCCATTGGATATGGCCACAAAGAAAAGAGAAAACCCAAGTTAACAGAATGGAAATGAATGAGGTGAAATTACAATGGATACTTACAGAAATACACAGGATCATAAGAACCTATCAAAGTATCAGGTAAAAGCAAACAAAACAAGATAAATAATAGAGAAACTGGAATTCACAAAAATTAAAACCTCGGTGTCTCAGTGGGCACAGCCAGACACTGACAAGACACTGGGGAGGTGAGGACATGGGGGTGGGCAGGCCATTAGGACCAGGGTGCCCCAAACCCGTTTGCCCGCCCCAAGCCCACTTATCAAACTGAATGAGAAACAGCTGGAGTCAGGGTGCCCCCAAACCTGGGAAAGGGTCACGTGTTCAGAACCCTAACACGGCAACATGATGCCAAAGCAGTGGACCAAGCATGTTCCAGGAATACGAGTCCAGCAGCCTGGGGGACTTGGTGGGCCTCGGTCCCCTGGGAGGCCCCATGGGCCTCAACCAACCAGCAAAAGACACAATACCGGGACACCCCAAGCTGGACCTCCCCCCACTCCTTGCCTGCTTCCTACACCCATATAAACACCTGCTTCTTGCCCGTCAGCGGCTATGTACTCGGGACCCCTCTCTAGTCAGAGAGCTTTCCTGTCCTTCTGCTCTTACAACAAATCTCTTGCTTTTCTGCCTAACTCTGGTCTCGACGCTGAGTCCTTTCCTTGCCAAGACAGGAACTAAGATCCCACTTGGGGTCTGGAGCCCGGACTCCAAGCCTTATGCAATACCACAGAAGGAGAGGAATTATTCACAATCATATTTTGGGTAAGAGTCTTGTACTCAGAATATGTAAGGAATTTTTACAACCCATGAACAAAAAGATAGACCAATTAAAAAAGGTCTAAGGACTAGATACTCTACAAAAGACACACAGATACTCATCAAGCACATGAAAAATGCTCAGTGTCACTCGGGAAACTCAAATCAAAGCGAGATACCATTTAGTACCTACGAGGATGAAAACTGTCAAAAAACAAAAGCTGGCGGAAGAAGAGAAGTAACTGGACCCCTCATACACTGGTGACAGGTGTGAAATGGTTTAGCTGATATGGAAAACAGTCTGGCAGTTTCTCAAAAATTTAAACATGGAAATATCACGTGACCTAGCATTCTACTCCTAGATATATACACAGAATTGAAAACAGTTACTTAACCCTGTACACAAATACTCACAGCGGCATTTTTAAAAATCACCTCTAAGTGGAAACCATCCAAATGTTTGTCAACCAATGAGCAGATAAACAAAATGAGATATATCCGCGCAGTGGAATACATTCAGTCGTGGACACGCACTGGTACACGCGACAACATGGCTAAACCTTTAAAACAGTATGTGGCCGGAGAGCAGGCGGACACAAACGAGCCCACTGGAGTTTTATGATCGCACGAACATGGGATGTTCTGAACAGGGAAACCCATGGAGACCGAAAGGGTATCTGGGGGGCGGGGGCGGCGCGCAAGGCGGCGAGGGGTACTGAGCCCTCAGTGGGTTTCTTTTAGAGGTGATGACAATATTCAGAAAGTAGTGTTGATGGTTGTACAACATGGTGAATATATCAAAAGTCACTTAATTGTACTCTTTAAAAGGGTGCATTTGTGTCATGTGAACACTACCTCGGTGACACGAAAAAGAAAATGCTTGGTTTCCGGCCACCACAGGTGCACAGGCGCGGGCGGGCTTACCGAGCGAGGCCAGGTTCCGGCAGGTCTCCAGCATCACGTCTCTGTACAGCATCCTCTGAGATGGGGCTAGCAGTGCCCACTCCTCCTGGGTGAACTCCACGGCCACATCCTCGAAGGTCACCAGGCCCTAAACCGTGGCCGACATCGTGACTCAGCCAGGGGCCACCCCCCCCCCCCACGCTGGGAGGAAACGGGACTGACGGCCAAAGAAGGGGTGCTGAACCTAGAGCCCAGGGCGTCCAGGCAGCGCTCTGGGCTCGGCCCTCAGAGCTCACCTCTGGCCTACTGTGCCCCTCGGAAGGCTAGAGGCACCGCTACCACACAGGTGGTTTTCTTGCCACCAAGAAATTCCCCCGCCGCCAAGACCGAGCAGTGCTGGGCACTGTTGAAATCAGAGCAGCGTCTGGTACATCAACGACTTCCCAACGGCCAACAAAAATGGAGTCTGGGACACAGTCACGTTTTTCTTATCGTCCCCCGAAAACCCTCAGCAGAACACATGTCAACGAAGGCGCTGGAGGAAGCTTGCAGATGTGGGTAATGTCACACACTGTGCCACTCTCTGGGCAGCCCCTCGCCCCACCCCAATGCCCAAAGACCGGGTTTAGCTGCAAGGCTCCAGGTCACAGAAGATAATGGAGCCAACTCACCTGTACCCAGCTTGTCAGGAAGCCACCAGCCCCCTCCTCCTCTGGGCATCCATCTCGAGAGGATGGGTAAAGGGAAGACTGAGCTGGAGAACACAAGAGTTGTAAGAACCCTGGGGTGCTCTGTTCCAGCACCCACAGATCTGAGTTTCCCCACCCACTCGCGACGGGCCATACCTCACACACAAATACCCGGGCCCGGCCCCTGCGGCTTGCACGGGAAGCCAGAGGAGAGCCCTGTTTCTCTGCGGGCTAGAAAATGGGGCTCCCTGCTCTCAAGGAAGAGCTTACTAGTCCCACTTTAGATGAAGAAGCTGAAATTTGAGGGAATTATTATTATTGTAACAACTTTACAAAATGAAGTACAAGTGTTAAGTTTATTTTTTTCAGAGTCTTCAACATTCTATTTAGTTTGGGAATATTCTAGTCCCTTATGAAACACTAAAAGTTGTGCACCTTTCTCTAAGACTATTATCTTCTTCATCAATTTTTTGGGACTTGTTAGAGGCACACCCCGAACACCTGTGTACACGCCCCTCACAGGCGATTCCGCTCCTGTCCCGCCTGCTCAGTTCCCTGCCCTGACCCACTCTGCACAGCAAAAGCCCTGAAAGTCTGGACACAGAGGGCCCCGCAACTGACCGTAAGTGGGGGACAGAACAACTGCTGCCATCCTGTGAGGGGGAGCAGGTTTTCCTGAACAACAGTGTGAGGACCGGGGCACTCCTCTTCCTCCTGGTGCACGCTGCACAGGGCTCTGGAAGAAATGGAACAACAGGAAGTTTCCACGGCCTCTCTAAGAGGACAAGGCTACCTCAGCCTACCGTGCCCTCCAGCAAAATACAGTGTTTTTGACCCCGGCCTTCTGTTCTCCTTTATTGGCGATAAACTCGGGGCTACACTCGGCAAATCCCACCTGCCCCTGCATGGACGATTACAAGGGACATCACTGCTCCAGCCCACCTGAACCCCTCAGTCTCATTGTTCGCCAAGCACATTCTTCCCTGCCTCAGGGATGTCACAGTCACATTCCCTGCCACATCCCTGGGGGCGGTGGCACCTGGCTCCTGCCATTCTTTTAGCCTCCAGGCTCTCCACACCCAGACACATCAGAGGCCAGGAGGAGGAGCAGTGTGAGTTTTTCAACTCTAGGCCCTGAGCCCCCATGCTACACTGGGCACACACGTCCCCAGGCCACTCCAGGTTCTGTCATTGCCTAACTCTGTTCTGAGCCTCTTCCTTCAAGTGTTGTCCATTTAGAACTCTCAGAGGTGCCAGGAACACTTGTAATTCCGCTCTGTCCAGTACAGGACCTGCCAGCCACACCTGGTGACGAGCTCTAGGATGTGGCTAGAGCAGCTGAGAAGACAAATCTCCAATTATGCTTTTCATTTATTCATCTGAAATGGCGACAAGTGGTTTAGGTCTTAAATAGGTGAGGGCAGCTGGTAAACCATGAAATGTACACTCCAAGAATAATCTATGTTTGCATGACAAGCAAACATTCTCCTTAAGAATATTACAGGAAAGCTAGAATGAAAAAGGCACACACACACAATTTATTGAACCCAAATGATTAAATAAATATAAAACTATTTAATGTGATTTTCTGCAATATAAGTCACCAGACTATTATTTCAGAGAAGTTTTAAGGAGCAAAGTTCATTTCTATTAGAAGATACAGTATAGAGAACAATTATTTTGGAAACTGGTGCCTTATCCTTCAAGCCGTTGAATATTCCTCCAAAGGATTTTAAATCCCACTAGGGAAAAAATTCACTTGTTCAAAACATATCTGAATGGCCAATTCAATTTAAAATTTCTGTTACTAGGATAAAGCAGTTCAAGTCACTCTTCCCCTGCTGTCCCTGTATTTTGAATCTTAATGGAGAATTTGAAAGGCTTTAGAAGCCAAATCTCATGGGCCTGAGAAATGTTCCTGAGAAGCCCTGCTAGTCTCGAGTGGGTAAAGTCCCGAAATTTTGCTACTTAGAATGCAAGGAAATTTCATTTCTCTGTTACACATACTTAGTGGTTTGCTTAATGTACTTGTTTACACTATATAACCATACACACTGGTCTTTTCCCCTTGAATATAATCAGTGCAGTAAAAATAACTTTTCTTATGAGACCCTCCCTAGTCTAGGCTCCTTGTGTTTACAACTTGAACTCAGGAAGGGCCACCAGCAGGGAATCTGCACAGGGAAGGCTGCTGGAGCCGGCTGTGGTCAGTTCCCCAGGGAGCTCACCTGATCCCCCGGTAATCCGGGTCAGTGGGAACAGGCGAAGCTGGTTTCAACACAAACTTGAGCTTCAGAGGTGCCTTGCTTGTCTGTGGGGGAAAAGAGGCACAAAGGCTGCTTTGAGGCCTTCTGTAGGGGGTGGTATAGCTGCTGAACAGTAAGCGCATCCCCCTCACCATCTTTTTTCTTTTGGATGCACCGACTGACCGTGCCCCGTGGGCGGCCACTGGATTACCCATGTCCATGCAGCCCTCTGCTCGGGAGAACCGGCCCAGCGATGCGGGCGTGTAGACAGGGCTTGGGGAGCGATTCCCAGCAATGCAAACACGGTGTCGTCTGGGAGCCCACGTGACTCAGCTAACTTTTTAGCGATTTCCAGTTGATTCAGGGCTTCAGAGCCGTTAAGGCCCTAAGATTAGGGATTTCCCACGCGCGGCGCTCCGGGGAAAGCTTTGTTGTGGGGGGCTGTTCAGCCGTCGAAGAATATTTAGAAACCAGCAGCATCCCCGGCGCCCTCCCCCCGCCCACCACGGGGTACCAAGGGCCCCCCATTGACACCTGAAACAACGCCTCCAGAGACCGCCGCCGGCCCAGGGGCGCGCGGGGCCCGGGGTCCGGGCGGCGCCCCGAAGAAGGGCCGGCGGTGCCAGGGCTGCTGCAAGCACCGCGTGCGCGAGCCGAGGGCCGGGCCGGGCCCCCGAGCGGGGCAGGCGGCTCGCGGCTCCCGCACCCCCGGCCCCGTCGGGCGGCCCCCCGCGCGCGGACGGCGTACGTACCGCGGGAATCCCGGCCACGCGAGGCCCGTGCGCGCCGGGCCGCCCGCCGCCCGCGGCCGCTCCCGCAGCGCCGCCCGCCCTTCCGCTTCCGGCCCCCGCGCGCCATTTCCGGTGCGGGCGCGCCGTCCGGGAGAGCGGGGCCGGGGCGGCGCGGGCCCCCAGCGCGGGAAGCGCCGGCTCAGCGGGCGAGTCCGGGGCCGGTCGCCGCGCCGGGTCAGCACCAGGGACGGGGACCCGCTCTGGGGGCGGGGCCGGGCGCGCGCGGCACCTCCCCGGGGGCGGGCTCTGGGCGCGGGGACCAATCACGGGAGGGGCTGAGGGGGGCCGCGCCGAACGAGACAGTTCCGGGGCGGGGCTGGGGCGGGGCCATGGGAGGAGCTTGTCCCGGGGGCGTGGCCCAGGGAGGGGCTTGGCTCGGGGGCGTGGCCCTGGGAGGGGCTTGGCTCGGGGGCGTGGCCCTGGGAGGAGCTTGGCTCGGGGGACGGGGCCTTGCTGGTCCTTGGATCGCGTGGTGGTTGGATAGTGACCTTTCTGCATGCTTGTGTTTGCACACCCCGAGAGAAGAACACGTCCTTATTTGGTGCCTGTTTGCTATTCTTAATTTCATTTAGCAAATGCATCGTTTCTTTTCAATTTGCTGTCCCAAGCCAGAAGGCTGGGATGCTATTTTAAGATTTGTTGGGGGCGGGAGGTTATGTCATACAAGACATAGGGAAACTTCAAAAACAGGGACAAAGTCAGTGAAATGTTCTCACTCTGGTACTGTCTCCTGCTTCTTTTGACCAAAGATAAGCATTATTTTTTTCATTCTTCTTGCTATAATGTGTATTTGTCCACGTATGTGTATGTACAAACCCAAGAGAGATTTTCCCAAGCAGCAACTGAAACTGCTAAATTGTTTCATGCATCTGGATCTACCGAAAAGGGGGATGAATTAGGGATGGGTTGATAAGAAGAAAACAAAGAGACATTTAAGAGATCAAAAGAAAGAGTGATAAATATAATGTATTCAAAATATCCTATATAGACTATCTCTGGATAAGATTCATGTCATAAAGTGGTAAAAGCTTGTGTAATTGTAACAGATACTCTCCAGAGAAAGGGGACGTTCCAGGTTCCCTGCCTCACCCTAAGGAAGGGCAGGTACTGGAAGTTAGAAAAGACCAAGAGAAATGCTAGAGAGGAAGAAGTGGAAGAAGCAGAGGAGGAGGAAAGAGAAGAATTGGAGAGAGATGGGCAGAGAGGAATATGCTGGAAGGGAGAGGAAGGAAGAAGCCCTGGCAGAGGCATGTGGAGCAGAGAGACACACGAAGAAGCCACAGTTGCTTCTCAGCCTTGGACTTGCACCAGGAACTGGGGGGACATGGAAGGCGAATCTTGAAAGAGGCAGAGAACATGGGTGAGAGAAGCCAAAGAAAGCATCAAAGAAAGACAAAACTAAACCAACTCGTGAAAACTGAGTGTAGATTTTAGGCATCCAAGTGGGGAGGGGAAGAGGGAGGCAGGGAGGAGAGTGGTGAGGGAGGGGAGCACAGTGGACTACGTAGAGGACTCTGGGTGCTTTGGGGGCGGGAGAGCTACAGTGGCCACACCTCAGGGGAGAAATCCTACCTTGTGAAAAAAGATGTAAAACAATAGTGCTCCATCCTCAGGTTTCCTCCAGGTTTTACTTATCTTTCCATCCAAAGCAGACTAAGCATTATTTATTGTGTACTAGAGTTAGTCAGGGATTCATCTTCCCAGACACCAAATCATTTCAGCTTCTACGTCTGAAGACCAACTGCAGAGTCATTGCTTCCCCCTCCCCCCACTGCCACTCCTTTTTGGCCTATTTCCCACCTTGGAAGACCCGTGAGGGAGAGGGGCGTGACCAATTTTGATTGATCTGTAAAGTGTGGTGGATCTGAGATTCAGAGAATGACATAGTGTAGGGGGGACTGGAGAATCCAGGACATGGGCTGTGGTAGGAGGGAGTTTGGGGGGCTATGGAAGAACCCGGGTGGGTGGGATGGCTGACACAGGAGTCAGAGAGAGGTGTGTTCCAGGGTTTCTTAGGAATAGGAACCTCACATTGAAGCAGGGGTTGATTTTATATGATAGCAGTTTTTGTACCAGCTCCACCAGTTCTGTCCCTCAGTGATAAAACAGTATGCAACCATAGGCAGAATTGCAAGTGCCTTTGGCCCTTGATGCGACAGCAGACTTTTCATCTTAGTTCCCTGTGAACCAGACAGGAGAAGTCAAGAAGGGTTCAGAGATTATGTCTGACCCGTGTGGTTTATTTCTGTTCCAGTCAAGCTTCGGTAGAGCCTGGTTGGGGACGGGGCCTCGGCCTGATCTCATCACGGCAGCTTCCGCAGGTCCAGGTGTGGCAGGTAATAGCCCAGGCGCCGTCGCTGAACCTCATAAGTGCCCTCCTTTTTCCTCAGGCAGATGGTGAACTGTGAGAGTGAGAGGACATCAGAATGGCCTGGTCACCTGCTCCAGCACAGAGCAATCTAACAGAACATGAAAAAGCCATAGAGACCTAACGCTTCCTGTCTCTCTCCTTCCTTTTTCCACTTAATTTTCTCTCTCAGTTCTTTTCACTTTTTTCTTTTCTATTTTCTCTCCCCTTTCACTTTCAATTTTCATCATTTTTGCTCTGGTCACTCTCAGTTTTCATCATGTTTGCTCTGATACTTCCTTCATTTCTCCCTCTCTGTTGGTCTCTCTCATGTCCTCTACCTTAATGGAAGTATACTTGACAGGCAATAAAACTTATACATTTAAAGTGAATGACTTCATAAATTTGATTATGGCTTTATTGAAATCAAGGTGATAATCCTCATCCCAAAAAGTTTTTTCATACGTCTTTGTAATTGCTTCTTCTCTGCCATTTGCAAATATAGTTTCACTCCCAGGCAGCCAAAGATAGCTTGTATTTTCTAGAATTTCTTTATAAATGGACTCATGTATTAAGTAATCTTTTTATCTGGCTTCTTTCACTCAGCATAATTAATTTGATATGTATGCATGTCTATGAATGTATTAAAAATCACTCTTTTTCACTGCTGAATAGTATTTCACGGCATGGATGTTTATCCATTTATACCTGTTGATCCACACTTGGGTTATTTTCTATTTTGAGCTGGTATTGAATAATGCTATTACAAGCATTTGTGAACAAGTGTTTGTATAAACATGTTTTATTTCTCTTAGATAAACCCTAGGAGTGGAATTTTTGGGTATGTAACTTTTAAAGATGTATCCAGGCTAACTCTATGAGTTCCAATTGCTCCATATCTTCAACACTTCTTATAGTCAGTCTTTTAAATTTTAGCCATTCTCAGATGGAGTGGTATGTCACTGTGACTTTACATTTCCTAATGACTACTTTTATCAAGAAAATAAAAATGTAAGTCACACCAGACTGGGAGAAAATATGGGCAGGACATATCCTTAACAGCAAGGGATATGTGTTTGTAATATGTAAGTGACTCTTACAACCAAGGAATAAGAGGTCACACTCCCTTACTTACCAGGAAGCAGCATATCATGCACACGATGAGAACCAGGAGTCCCGCCAAGCAGATGAGGATGATGGCCCAGAAGGGGATGCCTGCGGAGACAAGTACTGAAGTGAGCCCCCCCGCCCCCCCGCCACTCTCACTGGGTTTCTGCTGTTCCCTCGGACTCTGCCTCAACTGTCCTTGGTGGGGTCGGTCAACTTTCTTATCCGACACTTGTGTGCACTGTTCCTTTTGATGGGGTACAGTACCCAGACATACTCTCCCCACCCTGGAATGGGGATCCTTGGGGGCTTACCAGAACGCTCCGTCAAGGTGTCATTTTTGGTGGCAGAATACCCTGGAAGTGAATGAAATTCTTAATACAAGTTATTAAACATACAGAAAAATAGAATAAACTATCAGAAATATCCACCTCCCAGATATAACAGTGTATTTCATTCAATTAAACTGTGCCACCTAATGTATAAATTAACATGCCACCCTTGCTTCAGCCATTATTTTCACTGAGCTGTTAATAGGCACATTGCACTGCTTGTTACACATTCACAAGGCCATTGTCACACTACAGGAGTGTGATAGATCTGGGAATGAGGACTGATGTTGGACTGAGCTATTTTATGACAATTGGGTAGAACGGCTTATTGCAGTTAGCAAGCCCACATGAATCTGTAAATCCCCAAGCAGTTTTTTCTATGCCTAGAAACACATTCACCCCTTTCTCCTTTACTGAACTGGTTTTAGACTCATTTTCCAGAATTTTCTCTAGGAAGCTGCCTCTGACTACCATTTCCGAGTTTGGGTTGGGTCAAGTCAAATAATTTATATGTGTCACTGGCCTATTCTTGTTATTCCCAACTACCAAATAAATCCCACGAGGGTAGGGACACAGCACCCACTGAGCTGGGGTGGGGAATCCTAGGAGTGTTACCCTACAACCTCTTCCCAGCTAGCTTCTTAAAGATATGCTGTCCAATATGTAAGGAACCACAGGTGACTTTTAAAGTGACATTAATTTTCACTAAATAATATTAAAATGTGGTCCCTCAGTAACATTAAACATAAGTAATAAAAATTTGCCATATTAGCCTCACTTCAACTATTCAGGAGGCATATATGGCTATTGTACTGGACAACACAGATATAGGACATTTGTGTTTTTTCTAAGAAGCTCTATTGGCTGGTGCAAATCTAGAACAGAACTTGGCAAACTATAACCTAGGGGACAAGTAGGGCCATTGTCTATTTTTATAAATACTGTGAGCCCACAGTGGTTTTTACTTTCTAAAATTTATACAACCAGAAGAATACAAACTTGTGACACAGGTTTGTGTGGCCTTCAAAATCGAACATACTTGCTATCTCTTGCTTCAGAGAAAGAGCCCCCAGGAAAAGCTCCGCTGTGGAAGTCGGACCCCCATGCTAGCCTCCAGGAACACAGAGGCTTACCATCGACAAGGACGCTGTTTCTGTCCAGGGTAAAATTCCGCAAGTGGGTGCCGTTCTGGGTGAGTCTCAGGAATTCCTCATAGATGGCGATTCTGTCCAGCCTCCGCGCCAGCGGTGAGAAGTCGCACAGCGAGTCCACGCCTGTGTGGTTGCTGGGAGGGGCAGGCCTGGAAAACAAAAGGGGTGAGCAGGAGTCTCTGGCATTCTCGTTTCCATGCTCCTGGGTCCTGCCCAAGAGAAAGCTCGAGATACCATTTTCCAACTTCAAAGTGTATACAGTCGCAGCATTGAAACAGCGTGCCCTGGCAGAAGACATACAAATCAGTGGAGTAGAATTTAGAATCAATAAACAAACTAATGCAAACACAAACACTTTTCAGCAGGAGAGCCAACCAACTGGAAAAGAACAACCTCGTTTCCCTGGTGCTGGGGCAACGGGAAGACTTGTTACAGGGTGCTGCCCAACAGAGTGGGTCCTTTGCCCTCTAGGGGAAGAATTCACCAGCAACCTCTTGTCGCAGTTGAGCCAGGCAAGGCTTTGTCTCTGGTGTGACAAAATGTTCCACAATGAAATCGTAGGGTGGGCTTATTCCTCTATGAATATACAGCTAAATTGTACAGCTCAAAAGGGCACGGTGGGAAGTGAATCACATCCTGATACTTTTATAAAAAATTTAATTGCTTCATGTGGTTAGTGGCTGAATTCTAAGTCACCTGGTTCTAGCCCCTAGCCCCTTGGATCTTGACCTAAGCTGCTGGCTGGTTAAGCCCTGGATGCTTCTGCCCATACCCCACGTCTCCACACCAGGATCTCTGTGTCTACTGAGGTGACACAAGTTCTCTGGAGTTTCTAAGCCAGCTGGGCTCTGTAGTTTAGGAAGAAGCTGATATTAGGTAAAAGTTCTGTATTCCTTAGCAGCTAGGAACTGAGAGATGGTGGCACAGGGACACTGTTACTTAAAAGAGAAGTTTCTAGAGCCATTAGGTTCTGGGTTAGAACTCACCTGAATGCTAAAACTTCACAGCCCGAAAAGTAATTCTTGATGCTGCTGTTTTGGAAGAGCTGGTTGAGCTGAAAGACAGGACAAGATGTCCGAGGTCAGAATCTCAGGCTTTGGAATTTTCAGCCACTGAGCACACTTCTCCGTCGACTGGAACTGTCCCTGTCAACACCAGCTCAGGGTGTGCACCAAAGGGAGTGACTTAGCTGTGTGACCTGGGCTAGCGGCGGAAGCTCTCTGGTCTGCTTACTAACTTGTAAAGAGAGACTAAGAGCCTGTCTTTATGAATCATTGCGAAGAAATCGCACTCTGACTCCCCAGCGTCCACACACGTGTCTGCAGGGACCAGACCGGACACACGACCCGTCATTACCGCGTCCTCAATATTCCTCTTGCTTCGCTGGTGCTCGTGGGTGCCGGGCTGGGCCATGTTCTGGGAATACAGGAGGTTGGTGACGGTGAAGTTGAGCTGGAAGTGCTGGGAGTTGGGGACACTTGTTGGTTTTGCTGTAGATAGATTATCTGAGACTTCTACTCCTAGGATGAAAAGAAAATATGAAAACCCCTATCAAGGGAAGGTTTCAACTGAGAGGTCATTCCAGCCTGTGCACTTATTCCTGGCAGTGAGCCTTAAACTGGGCTTTCTAAAGTAGGTTACATAATACCCCCCACACCTGCCTGTCCACCTGGAGGTCATTACTTTTCCTACCTATCCACCCTCCACCGAGCATTGCGAGAGTCACTAGGATCAGGGAAGAGGAGACTGCCTATCGCTGGGACCTCGTAGGTCAGGGCAGATGCTAACACCCCGCTGCTGACCTGTGTTCCTAGAAGGTCCTCCTATCGCTGGCCTTCATCCCCCAGCCTAATCCATTCTCCACACAGCTCCCAGAGGACACATTTCCTAAGGCAGAACTCTGAGGGTATCAGTCCCTCCACAAGCCATTCCAGTACCCAAGAAGTTCCCTGCCCATGTCTTTGGCCTCAGCTGCCACCTCTCTCATGTCAAGTGTATGCCCAAGTCACAGCAAACTTCCTGCCACTTCCTTTCTGTCTCCAAGGTTATAGAGACCCCAGCGCAACTCCCAGCCCTTCCCTCTGGCGTGGCCCTGTTCTCCACCAGGACACAGTTTCTTCATCACTTCTTTCAGAAAACTTTCCAAGACAAGGTTGTGTCCCTCCTTGAGGTTTCTATAGGTTCTCGAAATTCCTGATTATAGTAATTACTACAATGTCTCATCAGTGGCTGTTTTCATTAAGTATTTGTTGAATGAATGATTAAATGAATGAATGAACCAATTCATCAATCAAATGTATGATTCTTAACTAGAGGACCTAAGACAGAAACTCAGGATCTTCCAGATTTTGAACTGGAAAAATTTCCATATAAATACGACCACTCCCTTGAGGGGGTCTGGCTGCATGTTTTCTTTCAGCCTCTGTGGATGACCTACTGCCGTGGTCATTGGCAGGGACCTCCAGGTAGCCCAGATCTTTCCATAGGGTAGCTACCCATCCCTCCTCACTGCCCCATCTCTACAAGCCATGAAACCAGCCCCCATGTCCCACCTGTCACATGCACGTCCGCCAGCTGGTAGGTGGCACCCAGCCACTGGGACGAAGCATTCAGAGTCTTGGCCAGAAAGATTTTCTTCACCACGCCAGGGTCCACATTGGAGGAGAACAGGGCCTTGATGGTAACCAACATGGAGTCCACCCTGGGGACAGAGACTGGTCAGCACCGACACCAGCAGTGTCACTGGTGATCCACTTTACAGAGCGAAGACCTAAGCACAGGAAGTCAGGAAACATCTGGAGGCCTTTCCCCCAAGGTAGAAGAGAGACTTTGACCAAAAGGGGAAGAACTCCAGGAATTGGGCATAGAAGCGATCACAGTACCAATGATAAACATGCAGATCACACCTCTAAGCGGTGACGTCTATACCACCAAACCATAACTGGTGGAGAGCACAGCAACATCCCACACTGTCAACGAGGGACCTGGAGCTAGCAAATATCCAGAGTCAAACCCCATCACTGTCTCATCTCCTGTAGTGTACAGCCTGCTCCCTCCCTCTCCCCAGCACTAGGTTCAGAGAATTAAATGAGGTGATGGTGCATGGAATGCCCAGTGGGGAGCTGGACCCGGCGAGCGCTACTGTGGGCTGGGATTAGCCAGAAGGGGCGAGAGGAGAAGGCGGCAGGCAGATGTGGAGGTCAGGACCTGCCAGGTGAATCCTTTCCTGTATCTGGGGAAGGGGGCACTGAGGAGAGCACCATGAGATGCCAGCTCGGATGTGGCAATGGCAGCTCAGAGCCACGGTCTCCCGAGTCCTCAACTTACATCAAGTTGGTGGCCAAGCAGGAGCGGAAGACGTCGCGTAGCTGGCTGTGGGAGTAGAGCGCAGTGACCTGGGTACGGGGAGACAGGACAGTGAGACTTTTGGGGTCACGGGGCCGCTTGAGTCAGTGGAAGAGCACAGGCCTCGGAGCAGAGGAGACCAAAGTTCAAATCTTGGCTCTGCCCCTAACTCGCCCTCAGGCACGCTCCCCCCACCCCCTCCCCCTTTGAGCCTTCCTGTGCCCATCTGAGAGGTGGGGAAGGCAATGAGGGCTCCGCCTCTGGAAACAGAATCCAGAACAAGTAGGTGGCGTGGAACAACAGCTCAACAGATGTAAGCAGAGGCGTGAGAGGGACGCCCAGGGAGGGAGGGCGGAGGGCCGAGAGCCCTCACCTTGTCCTGGATGTCCCATATCAGGGCCAGGTACTCTGAGGCCGCAGGGTCTGGGTTGCTGACGTTATGGTTGATGATGCGGAAATTGATCTGGTACTCGTGCTGGATGGATGTATCCTGGGGTGCGTAGCCTGGAGCCACCAAGAGAAGGAAAACAGGTGGAGACGCTTAGCTTTTAGCTGATGAGTGGCCTTCGGGGTCCTGCCTATTAGAATCATCCAACGTTAGATCCCTATGCTGAGGGCTTCTAAATGGTCAGTCACCCCCAAAAAGAGAAAAACTGGAACTTCATAAGTCATCTCCTAAGCTGAGATTTTGCTTGTCCTTATGCAAAGTACTACTTCCTGGAATATTCTTCCACCCTTTTCTTTTCCTGGAAAACTCCTATTCATGCTTCAGGAGCCCAATGCTGTAGAACTCCAGGAGAACAGAAACCTGACTATCTTGTTCACCACTATGCCCCAGAGCCCAGCACAGTGCTGGATGCATCTCTCCTCCTTCAGGCAGCCTTCCTTGATCTGCTTTCCTTGACCTTCCCACTGTACCCTGGCAATATGTGTGTCTCTGCCATTACTGTGCCCCTAAGTAATCTTCAGTTCACTTGACTGCTAGCTTTGCAGGAATAAAAACTCTGTTTTCTATCTCCACACATAACACATGACTTGGGACAGAATGGTCACATGTATGTTTGCTGAGTGAATAAATGTGAACTGTGAATTCCCAATATAAGGGACTGAGATACTCATCTCTCATTTGTTCATTCACTCACTCATATTAAGAACTGAGGACACAATGCTTTGCTAGACAGACCCCAATGTCAAAGAGCTCACAGTTGGACAGGGGAGTTGGATAATTAAACAAGAAATTGCAGTAAAGTGCGATAAACATTGATCTGGTTTCCATCTCTAGAAGTGCTGGGACCATGGGCATCAGGGTCTGACACCCTTAGAACTACTGAGGTGTGGGACTGTGCGATTCTTCTGGGGTATCTCGGGGTCTCGTTTGCATTGGAGGATATTAATGACACCTGGTTTCTCTCCACCGGATGCCAGTGGTGCCCGTCCCCAGCTGTGACAATCAAAAATGTCTCCATGTATTGCCAAGTGTCTCCTGGGAGGATGAGAACCTTCTGGATCAGAGCCACTGACAAAGAGGAATCTCACGTAGAGGAGCTGCCTGTTGGAGAACCTGTGATCCTGTCCTAAGAGATCCTTTGGGTCAGACATTTGGGTTTTGAATTAAAACGTATTACACTAATTTGGCCCAAGAATTGCATGCTATTGACCTGAAATAATAGGAGGGCCCTCCTCTGGGGATCTGGAAAGCGTGGCCCCCCAACCGAAGCTCAGGCTAGCTTGGTAAAGAGGAAGCACGCAGGCAGCGCAAATTCAAGCTCGGCATGCCATTACCATCGACGAAGAGGCTGTCCCTGGCAAGGCTGTAGCGGCCCATCTGGGTGACGCCATGCGTCAGCTGATTCAACTCCCAGTAAAGCCGCTCTCTGTCCAGGTCAGAGCCCACAGAGGCGTAAGTACAGATGATGTCTACGCGGGTGGCGGCTCCATCCGTCTCTGGCCTGGGGAGAGAGGGACACGGGGCTCCAGAAAGGTCCTGAAACCACTCAGGTTGGGGACCAGAAGGAGGAAGGAGCAAGCAGGTGTCTGGGGCACCCTGAGGAAAGTGTGGCCGTGACTTGCACTCGAGAAAGGGTCACACCTGAGGGCGACGAGTCTGCACCCGGAATAGATGGGGCCCAGGCTGCTCTTCTGGAACAAGGGTCCCAGCTGGAAGAGAAGGAGACAGGGAGTGAGCAGGGGACGAGGGCTGGGGAGAGGCTCAGGGGTTCAGGTAACGGGCCCACCAGGTGCTGCAGGATCCTGTCAGTGGAGTTGAACGTGGCTGAGTCCTGGGTCATGGCTGCTGAATACGGGAGGTTGGAAATGGTGAAGTTGAGCGTGAACGTCTTCAGCTTTTGCACAAGAGCTGCAGGAAAAGAGGGAGGAAGGCGTCCAGCAGACATTAGAGTCTGCCGGCTTCCCTCCCACCCCCATCTACCCCGTCTACCCCATTGACTGCCTCAAAACCTGGGGTCGCTCCTCGGCTCCTCCTCCCACCTCCACTTCAGGCACGTGTTTCTCCGTCTCCGTCCTACCTCAGGCCTTGTCTTCGCTCCCCTGGAGCAGCACACACCAGGCTCCCTGGATGCCCTGTCTAAAGGACCTGCTTCACATTGAACATGAGGATGGGAAGCTCCCTAGTGTGACCCCTGGCTTCCTGCGCCTTCAGCACTGAGCTCAACTCCTTCACCTGGACTCAAGTCCCTTCCTAATAGGGCTCGAGGGACGCCTCAACCTCAGTAATCCATGCACACTGAGGGAGGCTTTATGCTTCAGGTAAACCAAATTCCTCTGCATCCTCACCATACAGTGTTCGTTTCTGTCTGTGGGACCCGCGCTCACAGAATCCCCTCCGCCAGGGACCTGTGCCATGCCCTGTGCCCTCAGAACCCGCCTACCTATGGTTAAAGACTCAGTTTGGGTGAGGTCTTCTCCATAAAGCCCTTCTACCTCCAAATTACGCCAGTGCCTCTTCCCCAGACATCCACATTGTGTTATAACGACCTGATATTTGCACAAAACTCAGGGTTCTACGGGGCAAGGCAGCTGTTGGCATTGTCTGTGTGATCATTACGGTCAGAATCCTGCCCTGACACTGGACTCGGAACACCCTGGCATCTTTAGCTTCCGCGCAGCCTCTGGCTGGTGGGAGCTGGGGGCCGCAGAGCTTCTTTTGGGAAGGCAAAGGGTCACCCCCACCCCCAGGTACCTGTGGTGGCTTCTGTTTGTGCAGGTGGTGATGACGTAGGCAGAAAGGTGATTGGCTCAGGAGCTGTGAAAAGGGTAGACATCAGAGAGGGACGGAGTCCCCCACAAAGAGGGTGAAGCACCCCCAGTGACCCCAGCAGTGGCCCAGCCCAGGACAACGATTCACAGTTTGCCAAGGAGTGAGTTTGTGAGCAGAGGGTGACAAAGTGTGCGACTGAAATACACCGAAGAGGATAGGAGAGGGCCGGCAAGAGAGACTGAGCCCAGGAGGCAGAGCTGGCGGCGGGAAAATGGGCTGATGGACACATGCACGTGCGGACAGAGGGGGACGGGCCGGGAGGTGGTCAAAGAGAAGACGAGATGCAGAGAAGCGACGGAGGGAGCGGAGGAAAGAAAGGAAGGACAGGGTTGGGCTGGCTGCAAGGGTCGGTGCTGTGCTCGGAGGGCAAGTCTGGTGAGAATACGGCAGAGAACCTGGAGGTGATGGAAGCGGGGAAGCAACGCGAAACAGACATGAGGCTGGTTGGTCAGGTGGAAGGACGGCGAGAAAGAAGGAAGGAGAGGGAAGGGGAGAGAAGGAGGGAGGGAGGGCGGGAGGCGTCTGAGAGCCTGGCGGTTGTAACCGGGAGCACCGAGCAACGGATGGCCAGGAAGCTAGACCCAGGGGCCACGGGGTGAGGGAAGGCGAAATCCGGCCACCCCGGAGGAGCCTCCAGCCCGCATGGCCTCTGAGCATTTCCTGCCGCGCCCACGGCAGCTTTGCCATCAGGAGGCCTGGGCTACAAGATCCTCTGTCTTCAGCCCCTGCCCCTGCAGGGAATTCTTGCTCAAGTTTCTGCCTTTGGCCCAGCAGGGCGGAGGAAATTCACCAAGTCAAGACCATAGACGCGGGTCCAAAAAGATGCCAAGGACGCGGCGTCCTTCCTCCCACGGAGACCTGGCCCCACCCTCTGCCGTGGTGGGAGGCGAGCCCCTTTGCCAAGGAGGACAGAAACTTGGCTCAAGACCCCCAGAGTTTGCGGAGGGCATCGGACAGGAAGATACATACTCGTAGGAGGCTCCTCTGGACCAGGTTCGTGGTGATCTGAAAATGAACGGCCGCGTGAGGGGGAGGCGGCAGGCAGCTGTTCCGTTCTGCAGCCCACGCAGGGCTCCCGCCCCGGAATTATCCCCCCCAAATTCCGTCCACGCCACCGTCTTCCCTTCTACCCGCTCTCCAACCCGTCTCTCCCTCCAGCAATGCCACTGAGGGCTTATGATATGCCGGGGTCCGTCCACATTTGGGACGCGTGGTGCTGGAGACGCCCTGTCCTGTTGGAGCACCCATCAGGACAGCTGCCCCCAGAGCCTCTTCTGCCCCTGGCTCCAGGCGGGAAGCCTGGCTTAGCGCTGACGCTGGTGTGCGCTCAGTGAACAGACAGCACGACGCAGCACAAACGGTGCAGCTTCCCAGGGTCCTGAGCTGGCCCTGCCACGGCCAAGATGAAGGAAACGGTGACTTCAGAACATCAGCGCCCAGACTGGCCGCAAACGCTGCGAGAGTGAGGGGATCCCTCCCTTCTCTGTCCCTCCATCCCACTTGGTTTAAACAGGAGCCACAGATCACCCGCCTGTCCCCTGCCCCCGTGATGACAGATGTGAGCCGCCAAATACCATCCCCAGGGTGGGGACGTGGGGTGTGGAGTGGGTTACTGCACCTAACTTCACCAGGGCCAGGTTCTGAATATCAGAGCCCCAGACAAAGGGCACCCGCCAGTGTTCCCCTCCCCAGGAGCTCAGCTGATGCCCATTGCACCCCATCTTGGGCCCCCTTGGTATTCAGAGGGCCTGTTCATAGGGACCCCACACAGAAGCATGCCCATCACCAAGGAGAAGTAAGCAGAAAAGGGAGAAGCTGTGGGATCCTCCTTCCCTAAGGCTTCTGGGAGTTAGCTGTGGAGTGGGGTGCAGTGTCGGAGGCTGACAGTTGGGCTCAAACAACCCAACTTAGAGAAAGGACTTAACATTTCAGAGCATCAGTTTCCTCATCTGTAAAATGGGTTGAATCAAGGACAGTCTTGCAGCGTGGTTGTGGGGGTTCTGTGGGGCTCCCCCCAGGTTTGTCTCGAGCTTTCCCTTATGATAAATAGAGACCCCGCTAGAATTTGTGGGCTCGGCGGGCTGGGAACTACTCACTGTTGAGGTAGAGACTGTTCTTATCCAGGGAATAGAGACCCAGCCGGGTGATGCCCCGGGTCTGCCAGCTCAGCTCATAGAACACCTGCTTGACAGGTAGGCTTGGGGCCCGGGGTGGCTGCAGGTACTTGCAGAGGATGTCCACTCCTGTCTTGGCACCATTCTCCACAGACCTGGGAAGGACAGACTAGTCTCAAGGGTGCCACCGCTTGGCTGCCATCTGCCCGCAGTCACTGCGCACCTGGGGTCCCAGATCCAGTCTTGCTGTGCCATCCAGTCTGCGCGCCTGGCCACACCACCTGGCGCAGTGGCTCCTGGTGGGTGCCTTTCCCCTTGTCTTGGTGATAGCCCAGTCATCTTTCCCAACTTCAGCTGCTCTTCCACCTCCAAGAACCCGCCCAGGCTGGGCCAGGGCTGCGTCTGGGCCCTTGATGTCTTGCCTTTCCCCTCGCATCCTGGTTGCTGTCTCAGTACCTTACTGGTCCCCACAGCCTCCGTGTGAGTACAGGATGGGCCAGTCTAGCTCAGTGTTGCCCTGCTGAGCCCCTAGCACACTGCCCGTCCACGTAAAAGCCAAAGCTGTGATGACTAATGTGCACACAACGGAATCTCCTTTCCCCTTAGAAAGGAAGACACCTTTGACCCACACATGCTGAGCCTTGCGAACAGGGGCCTAAGTGAACTAAGTCAGGCACAAAAAGGTCAGCGCAGTAGCAGGTCTCCAGATGAGGCCCGCAAAGCAGAGTCTCAGAGACAGAAATAGCAAGATGGTGCCCACATTGGGTGGGGGACAAGGAAGCCCAGCATGCTCTCTGTACAGTTTCAGTTCTGCGTGTTCTGGGGGTTGGTCCATACACACACTGCGCACGCTTCCTGCCCTCAAAACCATTCCAGACATTTATTTGTGCTGTCTGTTTTCTCCACTAGGGGACGGCGTAAGCAGCGCCTGTTGGGGGGTGCCCAGACCCTCCCCAGGGGGATGTGCCGTCCCTGCAGGAGGTCATCAATGCACATCTGGACATGGCAGCAGCGTGCAAGCGGCCCCGAAGACCTGGAGCAACTACCATCGGCCAGTTTCTGCTCAGTCCAGACAGCCTGGGCTGCATGCTGCAAATGGCTAATTTATGTCACTAGGTATTCATCACAATTTCAAAAAAATTAATAACACAGTATTAAAAAGTGGGTACAGAAGAGGACCCCCAAGGACAGTCCCCACAGTCAGCGCGCCGCGGGCCTCGGGGGAGCAGGTGTCTCACCTGAGCGTGGTAACGCTGCAGTCCAAGAAGCGGGTGCCCAGGAAGCTCCTCCGGAACAGCGGGCCAAGCTGGGGAAGAAGGGCGGTGGTGGGAGTCAGGGGCGGAGCAGGCCCCGGGGGCCCGCAGAGGATGGGGGGAGTAGCCCCTCACCAGGTGCCGCATGACGTTGTCTGTGATGTTGAACTTGACCGAGCCCCGGCGGCCCATGTCCGCCGAGTAGCGCAGGTTGTCGATGGTGAAGTTCACCGTGAGCGCGCGGACCTCAGCTGCGCGGGTGCGGAGTGCGCGGTTAGCAGGAGGACTCAGCCTAGGGGGGGCTCCTGCGGGGGTCTGGTCCTCCAGACCAGTCTGAAGGTCCCTTGTGAGTGGTCACACCCCACGGGGAGTAAGGGCAGGCTTGGCGGTCAGCGGGGTGGAGAGGCGCTCCCACCCAGGCAGGGGCGGTCGGCTCTGTGAAGCTCTGGGGGCGTTGTGCTTTCCCAGAGAAAGGGCTGGGGGCTGGCGCGCTGCTGCGGACTGCAGACCCTGGGCATTTTCATCCAGATTCCCTCATCCCTGCCTCTACCTCCGTCTGTCAATAGGGCCATACAAAGAGTCTACACCTTTACATCTCTACCTGTCTACGCACATCTGAGAGGATTGTGGGGAAGACGGGCATACTTAGCTGCAGGGACCGGCGCGCTCTCCTCTCGCCCTCCTTCACCCTCTACAGTGAGAGGTCGGAAAGCATTTTCTAATTTGTCTTGTGTAATAAATACTTGCATGATGTTTACTCTGTGTGTACGCATTTTTGCGGAATTAAACACAACCTGAACCAAGGCACAGAGAGGCCTGTCTGTCCAGGGCCACCCGGCGGAGTGGAGGAGAGTCTGGGTTGGATCCAGGTCCCCCAACTCCAGCCTCCTCGCTCATGGCCTCCCCTGCTACGCCCTTGCTCAGACACATGCAGGTGCACAGAGCCAGCAGCTGTGACCTGTGCAGGACTCGGTGGGAGGTGAGACAAAGGCACATGCCATGCCAGGGAGCCCAGCGGGCTGGTGATGTGACTCCAGCGTGAACGAGCCGTGCACAGGCCGGCTTGTGAGACAACACTCTGGGAGAAAAGTTATCTCCCCTCTTCCCTCCCTGCCTTCTAGTCATCACTCCTTCCAAGCTTTCTTCTCTACAGTCTACTTTCTATCCTTCCTTCTTTCGTCTTTCCACCCATCCATCTGACCATTTGTCTGCCCATCCGTCCATCCATCCATCTGTCCATCCGTCCATTCAGCTACCCACTCATCCATCCACCTGTCCGTCTGCCATCCGTCCATCCATCCATCCATCCACCTGCCCGTCTGTCCATCCGTCCATCCATTAGGACACGGGGGGAGGGACACCAGGAATGCAAGTGCCGGGGCGGCCACATGGCGGGGCAGCAAGAGGGCCGCCAGTATCAAGCCCAGGGGAGAGGCCTCTGGAGAAAGCAACCTTGACTTGAGCTTCTACCCTTCAGGATGGTGAAATAAACAGTTTATTTTTGAGCTACTCAGTCCACAGTAGTCTAACCTCCCTAGCGAACTAACACACCATGGAGCCCGGTTTCAGTACATCAGCATTAAAAGCTGCACTGACTCCGGGAAGCGCTCAGAACAGTGGCAGGGACAAGAAACAAGGGTGAGAAAGTAGCAGGAAGGGCAGGATTCCAGGAGAATTAAAGGACAGACATCTGAGGATCACTGTGGCTGAGATCTCCATGCCCTGGCTTGAGATTCCCCTCCTGGACCGAGGAGAGCCAGAAGGGGTGAGCTGGGGGCCCCTTTAGATGTTCCACTCACTTAGGGCAGGAAGTAAGAACAATGGGTCCCCAAGCTCAAAGTGGGGAGGGGCGGGCCTAGGGAATAGGCCAGATATACTCACTGGCGGTGAAGGGCGCCGTGGCTCTGTAAGTGTAACCTGCAGACAGAAGGCAGGAGGACTGAGCGAGAGCTGGCTTAGAAAAAGGAAGATTTAGGGACCCTTGGGGGAAAGCAGAGGGGAGCTGGCAGGAGAGGGAGGTTCAAGGGGAACGCAGCCAAGCGGGGTGTTGAAGTGGCTGGACCATGTGGTTATTTCATCACAGTGAAGGACAAATCCAGCTCAGCAGTAGGAAATGACCAACCCCCAGAGAAAAGGAGGCACCCAAGCTCCGAAGCGGGGACCACAGCCGTAACAGGCCCTCACCATTGACGTAGAGGCTGTCCTGGTCCAGGGTGAGCGGGCCCAGCCAGTTGACGCCATGGGTGAGCCGGCTCAGCTCCCAGTAAAGCTGCTCTCGATCCAGCCCGGGGCCTACGGGGTCAGCTCGGAAGTCACAGACAATGTCCACCCCAGTGGCTGTTCCATCTTTCTCCAGCCTGAGGAAGAAAGGGCCGGGGGGTGTGCATGGCCTTCTGGAGGGGGCCTTCTGGGTGTGGAAGGGAGGAGACTGAGGGCGCTGGAGGAGCTGCTCTGGCATCTGCAGGGGGTCCCCCTAGCGCCATTCAACTGAGACAACCCGTCCCCACGTATAAGGACAGAAAACAGAATATTTGGACAAGATTCGTGGTTCTTTTAAGAGGAGAAGACTCATTTAAGAAGATGCTTCATTTCCAAGCTCTGAGCATTGCTGCCACGTGGGCGTGCAGAAGGCGTGAGGGCGTCCTGGTGGGTCCAGGGCCCCTCCCCCGCGGGGCCCCCCGCCCGGCTCTCACCTGAGCGAGTCCAGTCTGCAGCCGGCACACAGGGGGCCAGCGGAGGTCTGATTGAGCAGGGGCCTGAGCTGTGGGCAGAGAGGACCATGAGCAGAGGCCCGGAGGGACGGGGCAGGTGTGAGGTGAGGCTGGCAGAGGCCAGGGGCCCTCACCCGGGACTGCAGGATGCCATCAGTGGAGTTGAACTTCAAGGATCCTGGGCGCCCCATGGCCTGCGTGTAGTGCAAGTTGGTGACGGTGAAGTTCAGAGTGACGGGCACTAAGAAAGGGCCTGCGGCTGCAGTGGGAGAGGGAGAGGAAGGCCGGCCGTTTGGACCATTGTAACAAAAAGGTGGCCTGAGGCTTAACATGGGGCCCAGTGGTGGGCCAGGCACAGTCTCGGACTGCAGGAGCCAGAACACTCTGGGGCTCCGGAGGCAGCGGGCGGCCTTGCTCGTTTATCGAGCGGCTGCCGACTGAACCCCAACATGGCGGCTCTGTGCAGCGGGACATGACCCCAGGCAAGGCCAGGAGAGGGACGAGATGGTCACTCTTGGGGAGGGGGGTTTGTGCACACTAGGAGGGTACCCACTCAGTGACCAGAGGAAGGGCCATTTCAGGAGTGACCAAAGCCAGGAATAACAGCCAGGGGACAGGGACAAGGAACATGAGGCCTCTCCTGTGGCTGTGAGGAGTCACAGACGCGAGACTTGAGGGGCCTCTTAGCCTCTTAGGCCTCTTAGCCTCTTAGGGAGCCGTGACTAGGGACTCAGTTTGCACACCAGATGGTCAGGATGGGGACTGTGACCACAGGCGCTCAGCGGGGGTGCTGCGTGGGTGCAGAGGCCAGAGGCAGCTGGAGGGGGGCTACAGGGCCACCCCAACAATGACGGACGCTGGGGCCTGGGTAAAGGTGAGCGAGGCAGCTAGAGGAAGACTCAGGGGCTAGAAGTGGATGAGGTGTTTGGAGAAGGACAGGTCTGGGAGGCGGGAGGAGGCCGGGACGGCGCCCACAGCCTCGCCTCTGGTGACGGGAGGAAGGAGCAGCTTTGCGGGAGGATAAGTTCAGGGCCGAGAACAAGGGCTGGGTGGTCTGGATGTCTCGGGGCTGGGCCAGGGGTCTGGAGCTGCTTTGGGAGGAGAGGGGGCTGGACTCGAGCAGATAAATGCCCTTGATGGTAGCAGCGGGTGGCTCCCTCAGAGCAGGCGAGTGAGCAAGGAAGGGAGAAGTGATCTCGCAGACATGACCTGGGCACCAGCAAGGGCCTCCCCACCTGCGGGCATCTGCAGGGGGTCCCCCGAGAACGTCAGAGAGGACACCGAGAAGGTGCGGAGGCCACAGCACGAGGGGAGAAAAGCAGCAGGTCAGGGTCCCCCCGCAGGGCCTGGGGGCTGTGGCCGCTCCAGTCACCACACGGGGCCTCTCTGCGCCCCTCGGCCTGGAGCCATCGCTGCTCGTGTGGGGGAGGGGAGAGGCGGTGACTCCTGTGACATTTTACTGTTTGTCCCTCGGCTCCTCCTCGCCCAAGGGCAGTTACGAGGAGGCACGCGCTGGCCGGCGGAGCGGCCCCATGTGAGCGGACGGGCAGCGGCCACATTCACACAGCCACACAGTCACACAGGCCATACTCACTGCTGGGGGCGGTGACCGAGGCCAGAGGGGTGTGGTCTGCAAAGGGAGAGAGACAGTGAGGAAGGGGGAAGGGAGAGACCTTTAAGATCTTGGGGAAGATGGTGACCGCATACCCACCCTGGAGGCCCCAGAGGCCCCCACAAGGGGCTCCGAGCTGTGGGCCCCAGTGGGTATCTGAGCCCGGAGCAGAACCTGCTGCCCACTCAGCTGGGAGCAGAAGAGCTCCCCATCATCAGAGAAGATGGGGGACACTCCAAAGAGCCCTGGAAGAGGACTTCACACGTGGGCTCTGACAGGTATTGGGCCTGTTTTCCAGAGGTGGGGGGCCTGGGACGGAGGCGGGCAGCTCTTGCCCTGGCCCTGTCCCCAGGGCTGGGACTCGCATACTCACTGCTGGGGGTGGTGGCCTGTTGGCTGTATCCTGCATGGGCAGAGAGACAGGATGAGTTGGGGTGAGATGAGGGAAGGAGGGAGTGGACAGGAAGGTGGTAAGGCCTGTTGAAAGGCAAGTAAAGATGGCAGGCTCTCACCATCGACACAGAAGCTGTCTGGGTCTAGCCTGTAGGGGCCCAGCCAGGTGGCACCCTGGGTCAGCTGGCTCAGCTCCCCATACAGCTGCTCCCGGCCTGGCCCCGGGCCTGCGGGATTTGGGTGGCGGGTGCAGATGGCATCCACTCCGGTGGCTGCCCCGTCCTTCTCAGGCCTGGGAAGGAGGTGACATTGAATACACAGTCCTTAGGGAGGGTCCTGAGACCCCTGGAGGTGGGTCAGCAAGGGCCAGAGGAAATGAGGTCAGCAGGGAGCTGAGAGGCCACTGATGGCCTTCTGGAATGCAAGCGCCCAACTTAAGTTGCAACACCCAGGCGTCCAGAGGGGCGCTGCCTGCTCCAGACTAGGCAGCCAGGCCGCCGTCCCCACCAAGCAGGTCCTGGGTCACTTAGAAAACCCATTTTGGGGCCATTTGTGTATTTTTCCGTTGTCTTTCTCTCCCGGTGCTTTCAATTCCCTCTCTCCTTTTAAATTCACCAATAAAGAGCTAACCCACAACGCCCGAGGCAGTCACCCTTGGCCCCGGAGCAGGAGCCCAGGGCCCCAGGACTCCCCACCTGCGACCCCACTCTATTTTCTCTAGGGTCGTGTGTGAGCTCCAGGCCTCGTAGGCCACAAGCCCCTCTGCCACCCACTCCTGTGACTGTTACTAAGGGGCTTGCACAGCCAGAATCAGAGCACGGGGACCCACCCGCCCCCGCTGCTGGTGCTGACGGCCCGAGGCTGGCACAAACGCGGGAAGAGGCCCTGCTGCAGGCTGGCCTGGCTGGGCTGCACACAGGCAACTTGTGGAAGAATCTCTGTTAAAATGCCCGGCCGCAGTCCCCGGCATGTGCCCAGCAGAGCCCGCGCTTGAGGCCAGCGAAGAGCTGGGGTTTGGGGCGCGAGCAGAGGT